CTATGTGCCGCAAGCCGATATGTGCAAGGACTTGGACGGTAACCTTCTCACGAACGGGTGTGAGGTGATTGAGAGGTGGAAGCAGTACTATGACGAGCACCTCAACGGTGAAGCAGCAGAAAACGAAGGTGGCACGGCAACAGACCTTGGAGCACGCGCAGAAGACGACAGGCTACCGGCCCCTGATCTTCAAGAAGTTGATCCTCCACGAGCATAGTCCAGGTCGCGTGGCCGTAGAGGACCACCGGTCTAATCAGCGTCTTGTAGACAGTCAACTTCGTGCGGCGGCGAATTTTATACGACCGGAGCGTCCTCCGGAGTCCAAAGTAGGCACGATTCCCTGCCATAATGCGTCTTTGAATTTCTCTGCTGGTATCATTTTCGGCGGTCACCAGTGAGCCCAAATACACGAAACATCGACCATCTCGATTTCGTCACCGTCAATATGAACTCGGGGTGGGAGGCTAACATTGTCTTCCCTAGAACCTCTTCCTTTCATGTATTTTGTCTTCGATGCGTTGATGGCAAGTCCAACCCGCCTAGCTTCAGCCTTCAGTCTGATGTACGTTTCCGCCATCATCTCAAAGTTCCGTGCCATAATGTCAATGTCATCGGCGAAGCCAAGGAGCTGGATGGACTTCCTGAATATCGTGCCACTTGTGTTTATCCCTACTCTTCTGATCACACCTAACGCGATGTTGAACAGCAGACACGAAAGTCCATCACCTTGCCGTAACCCCCTTGGAGATTCAAAGGGACTCGAGAGTGTCCCCGATACTCGAACAACGCACATCACTCGATCCATCGTCGCCTTGACCAATCGCGTCAGCTTGTCCGGAAATCCGTACTCGTGCATAATCTGCCATAGCTGATCTCGATCGATTGTGTCGTATGCGGATTTGAAATCGACGAACAAATGATGTGTGGGCACGTTGTATTCGCGGCATTTCTGCAGAACCTGCCGAATCGCGAAAATTTGGTCCGTGGTAGCGCGGGCACCCATGAATCCCGCCTGGTATTGCCCCACGAATTCTCTTGCATATGGTGAAAGACGGCGGCATAGAATTTGGGAGAGTACCTTGTAGGCGGCGCTCAGCAGTGTGATCGCGCGGTAGTTGAAGCAATCCAACTTGTCGCCCTTTTTGTAGATTGGGCATACGACACCTTCCATCCACTCCTCCGGTAATATCTCCTCCTCCCAAATCTTGGCAATTACCCAGTGCAGCGCTCTAGCCAGTGCTTCACACCAGTTGCTTTGTTGTTCTTCAGCCGACCGATCTCCTCCTCAACTTCTTGAAGATCAGGGACCGGTAGCCTGTCGTCTTCTGCGCGTGCTCCAAGGTCTGTTGCCGTGTCACCTTCGTTTTCTGCTGCATCACCGTTGAGGTGCTCGTCATAGTACTGCTTCTACCTCTCAATCACCTCACACTCGTTCGTGAGAAGGTTACCGTCCAATTCCTTGCACATATCGGCTTGCGGCACGTAGCCTTTGCGCGAACTATTTAGCTTCTCATAGAACTTCCGTGTGTCGTTTACGCGGTACAGATTTTCCATCGTCTCGCGATCTCGGTCTTCCTGCTGACGCTTCTTCCTTCGGAAAACCGAGTTTTGTCTGTTCCGCGCTTGTCTGTATCGCTCCACATTCAATCTCGTGCGGTGTTGCAGCATTCTCGCCCGTGCTGCATTCTTCTCTTCTACTAACAGTTTGCATTCGCCGTCAAACCAGTCATTTCTTCGGTCCGGGATTGCAGTACCACCTAGTGCCGCTGCAGCAGTACTGCCTATGGATTCAAGAGAAGCTGCGCCAAGCTGCTCTTCCGTGGGTAGTGCAACTTCGAGCTGCTGCGCGTAGTTCTGGGCAACTCCGGCATCCCGTTCGACTTCCACAGGTGTTATGCACCGTCGAGAGTTTTGAGCGCATGCATACTGCAACTAGGTAGTGGTCCGAATCTATGTTCGCACTGCGGTACGTGCGGACGTTGATAATGTCGGAGAAGGATTTCCCGTCGATTAGAACGTGATCGATTTGGTTTTCTGTGTGTTGGTCACGTGATCTCCAGGTGGCTTTGTGGATATCCTTGCGGGGGAAAAAGGTACTTCTAACTACCATTCCTCGAGAGGCTGCAAAGTTTACGCATCGTTGGCCGTTGTCGTTCGATACGGCATGCAGGCTGTTTGGCCCGATTGCCGGTCTATACATTGCCTCCCGTCCTACATGAGCGTTCATGTCGCCGATGACGATTTTGACGTCCCGTTGCGAACAGCCGTCGTACACCTGATCCAGCTGCGCATAGAACGCTTCTTTCTCGTCGTCGGGTCTCCCTTCGTGTGGGCAGTGCACGTTGATGATGCTGTAGTTAAAGAAACGGCCCTCAACTTGCACATCCTCGCGTTGATCGGCTGCCAACCAATAACGCGTTGGCGCATCTTACCCAGCACTACAAAGCCGGTTCCCAGCTCGTTGGTGGTGCCACAGCTCTGGTAGAAAGTAGCCGCTCGATGCCCGCGCCCTTGGTGTTTTCGAACGGAAGGTGTTGCGTACCATCTACGGTGGAGTGCAGATGGCTGACGGAACGTGGAGGAGGCGAATGAACCACGAATTGCACCAGCTGCTGGGAGAACCATCCATCGTCCACATTGCAAAAATTGGGCGACTACGGTGGGCTGGGCACGTCGTAAGAATGCCGCACGACGACCCAGTGAAAATGGTTCTAGAAAGCGACCCAACAGGAACAAGAAGAAGAGGCGCGTAGCGGGCAAGGTGGATCGACCAAGTAGAAGGCGACCCGCGGACCCTTCGCAGACTACGAGGCTGGCGAAGTGTGGCCATTAGACTGATGCAAAATTTGAAATTTTCTTTCCACAGTGTTCAAACGGTATCAAATCGGGCCCTGATTAGCCTCCGAAAGTTTAAACTCATTTGATAAGAAACTAACTTGGCACAAATCATTTTAAGTTTATATGGAAATTACGATGGGAAAACAAAACTTTTTGATCATTGTCTTCTAGCCTTTTTACATATTGTACTGTTAACAAATTCTGTTGCTATTCTTATGGAATTTTTTCTCAGCTACAACTTTGCAGAAAATCGTTTTAAAGCCAAACGTCAAATTAAATTGTTATTAATTGTTTAAGAGATTGATAATCTTATGGCAAGATTAAGCAACTGTATTGTGGGCAACACTGTACTCTGCAGTGTGACATAGTAGCCATGATTTTTGTCCTCTATTTTTCGCGCCAGAAACACCAATGTTGCCTACTGAACAGTTGATTGAGCATAATCATAAGACATCAGTGACTTGAATCATTAATAACTTTTGTTTCTTACATTTGATCGAAAAATGGTCTTCAACAAAGTTGTAGCTGATAAAATTTTCAGCTATCATTTTCTAAAGAATAGTGAACTGGTGAATTTTGAGATAGAAATGAACCAAAATTATGGCTTCTCCATAGTAATTCCCATATAAAATTCAAGTGGTTTGTGCCAAGTCAGTTTCTCACTAAATGAGTTCAAATTTTAAGAGCCTAATCAGGGCCCAATTTGGAACCGTTTGAGCACTGTGGAGCAAAAATTTCAAACTTTGCATCAGTCTAGTGGCCATGGATCGAGTAGAGTGGAGACGACTTCTTCGGACAGCAGAGGACAGCAAGGCCTTAGCCTGATTGGGATGGGATGGGAGGGGAAATAGATGTAATGTCGGCCTAAATGCCCCTAATTTGGGACCATGCATAAATTCAGCAATCGACTTAATTTTCAATAGCGACCAAAAATATCCATTAGCACCGTCCCAATCATCTAGATCAAATTGATAAATAGCAGAGTTTTAGCGATGGGCCCAATCTTAGATCCATATGTCAACATTAGAGCCATTTTCCCTATGTAAAGAAATTGAAGTTTCGATTGTTAAATTTTGGCTGTATAGTAGTTAGGCTATAGGTAGTTACCATAACAGTAGTTGTAGTACTAACGTGTTGAGGCCTATTCTGCGCCGTGAGTGAGGTGAGGTGACTCTCGATTTGATTTGCACGGAGAGGACTGTCGTCTTATAATCGATCATTTGAGTGCAGGATAATAACTGCAGCTGCTTGCATATTTACTTATGATGTAACAGAAACACTTGATGTAATAATACACTTGAAAACAGTTTTCCTAATCTAGTTTGATGGTTCTTATCAAAAGAACCACTTTAGACAACCTGACAACCTTGCCGCATCCCAGAGTCCACTCACAAAGACCCATTCTACTTAAAAGCATTTCGCAGGGAGTAAATAGTATTAATCCACTGGCCACTGCCATCGTCAATCTTGATCGCAACGGGGTATCTAGTTGAGCTAATTTAGATTTGTGTGGCTGGTAGGTATTATTATTATTATTACTGCCTTCAACGTTGATCAATCTCTGTCAGTCGCGGCTCATTGAGCAACCGAGCGTGGAGCATCTTTACAAGTACACACGGATGATAGTGGAGTTCATCAAACTGTTTTTTTCCGTGAAAATCATTCAACCATAAGAGACGCATACTCCTTTCGCATGCCTCTCTCATGTGTAACAAACTACTAAATATTTAAAAAGAAGGTGATTAGTTCCAGGCAGGTGCCCTGTTGTATGGTAGATAAGACAAATGGAACCACCCGAAAGCGATTATTAAATCGCTGGCCGCTTTCTTTTTCCGCCCTGCTGCAACATCAGCAGCTATACCTAGTTGTGTTGTGGTAGATGGAATGTCTTTGATGACGAGCAGTGTTCCGTTTGACTTAATTCCGTGTATCCGTCCTTGAGGTTCCTACCAACCCATCATTCGCAACGAGAGCAATAAATTACTCATCATTATTCACTGCCTACAAATCACGACGCTGCGCTTGAACGGCGGTGGAGCGCAATTTGCTAACCGCTTTGTACTTTTACATACCTACCTACTTAATTACGTAAAGGTGCCGATTAACATAGTCAAGAAGAAGACACAACATTAATTGGCCATTGTTTCCCCATCTCGTTGCAGGGCTTCAACATTCACATCAACGGTAGCTTCCACTGTTGCCTGCGGTACAAGCAGCTGCACAGCCTCCACGAGCAGCTGAAACGGTCACTACCCACGCTGGCACTGCCGAGCTTTCCACCCAAGAAGCTACTCCCACTGACGCCGAATCAGATCGAGCAGCGGCGGATCAGCCTCGAGCGGTACATTCAACTAGGTAAGCTTTTATACATGTCTCGAATCTCTCGCTATAACCTCTCGTCTATTGCAGTCGGCCAAGATCCAGTCCTATGCCGCTCGGAGCTGCTCCGGGCGTTCCTGCTGAACGCCCAGCAAGAGTCCTCCTTCACCGAATGCCGCGAGGTCAGCCTGGACGTGTTCCTCATGAACGGCTACCGGATACTGACGAAAGCCTTCACGACAGACTGCTCCAGCAAGGTGCTGGAAAAGGCCTGCTCCCTGATTGATCTACCCAAAGAATACACGTACTATTTTTCCCTCTATCTGGTGCGCAACGAAACCAACGGTGACGTGGCCATCAGCAAGAAGCTGATGGACTTTGAGGCTCCCCACATTTCGCAGAAACAGTGGGAGGACTGCAAGATTGTGATACGGACCAGCTACTGGGACGCAAACTACGATCTGGAACTGATGCGGGACCGGATCGCGCTGAATCTCCTCTACATTCAGGCGCTGAGCGACGTCGAGCGAGGCTGGATCCTGACCACTCGGGACCTGAACGAACAGCTGACCGAGCTGCAGGCCCGGGGGAACAAACGGGAGTATCTGGAGATTGTCCGCAAGCTGCCCCTGTATGGGTGTTTGCAGTTCCCGCGGGTGTGCGTGGACTATCCCCAACCGAACACGATGGCCACGGTCATCATCGGTAATCGGGAACTGAACCTGCTGACGCACTACGGCAAGAAAATACAGGAAACCAAATTCAAAGTGACGAGGATCCGGTGCTGGCGGGTGACGACGATCCACAATGTGAGTAATTTGGGTACAGGTTTGGAACTATCATTACAATTCTTATCTTCGATAACAGAACGAAGAAATCTCCTCCAACTCGTCGTCGGAGAGTCGAGGCGACCCATCAAACAACCTGGAGCTGTCGTTCGAGTATCTGATGGCGAAGAATCAGCTCAAGTGGATCACGATCTACAGCGAACAGTCGATGCTTATGTCCGTGTGCCTTCAGTCGATCGTGGATGAACTGCTCAATCAGAAGAACGGATCCGACATCAACAACATTCAGGTAGGTGGCCCTGTCCAAAATCAGTTCACAACTAACTGAATTCCTATTTCGGGAGGATGGACGGCTGTTTATGTAGTTGGCATAGAGCTTGTTTGTAGTAGAGGACGATAGTAATACGGACGTGCTGGAAGACGGGGATTCACGGGCAGTCTTAGCATAAGATTATTACGAAGCGGTCGGGGTTGAACATTCAGGTCAATTTGCCTCAAGATAGCCTTGCAATCTGTCCTTCCTTGCAGGATATCGGCCACGGTTAGGGCTCTACTTGTGTCTCTTCTAGTCCGTAGAAGTTCTACTTCGATAAGTTGACAACGGCTTTCGTAACTGGGTAATCGAAACGGATCATTCCAAGGCAATCTACGCAACGCAAAACGGAAAAAGCGGCGTTGAACAGATTCAATTCTCTCGGCACCGTTGTTGTAGTTTGGGTTCCAAACCGCTGAACAATACTCAAGCGTCGATCGAATAAGGGAACAATAGAGAGATTTTAGACAGTGAGTATCGATGAGTTCATTGTCCCTGTGACTAGTCGAGTATTAGTACAAGACACTGAAGAAGTCTGCACATTGTAGACGAAATACGCGTATCTGTCAAGGATAAGCAAATAAAGTAGTGGAATTAAATGGAAAATACTAATCCTTCTCTCTCTCATTATATATATGCATGCTATAATTACAAATGGCATTAAAATCCGATTTTTTAAAAATTTAAGCATATGAAAAATCAAAATCTCGGTAGGTTTTTTTTTTACACAGTACATACCTTACCTTACCAATCAGGCTAAGGCCTTGTTGTCCTCTGCTGTCCGAAGAAATCCACTCTACTCGATCCATGGCCACACTTCGCCTGCCTCGTAGTCTGCGCCGGGTCCGCGGGTCACCTTCTACTTGGTCGATCCACCTTGCTCGTTGCGCGCCTCTTCTTCTTGTTCCTGTTGGGTCGCTTTCTAGAACCATTTTCACTGGGTCGTCGTGCGGCATTCTTACGACGTGCCCAGCCCACCGTAGTCGCCCGATTTTTACAATGTGAACGATGGATGGTTCTCCCAGCAGCTGGTGCAATTCGTGGTTCATTCGCCTCCTCCACGTTCCGTCATCCATCTGCACTCCACCGTAGATGGTACGCAACACCTTCCGTTCGAAAACACCAAGGGCGCGTTGGTCCTGCACGAGCATAGTCCAGGTCTCGTGGCCCTAGAGGACCACCGGTCTAATCAGCGTCTTGTAGACAGTCAACTTCGTGCGGCGGCGACCGGAGCGTCCTCCTGAGTCCACAGTAGGCACGATTCCCTGCCATAATGCGTCTTTGAATTTCTCTGCGAACTCATCGACCACCTCGATTTCGTCACCGTCAATCTGAACTCGGGGGCTAACATTGTCTTCCCTAGAAACTCTTTCTTTCACGTATTTTGTCTTTGATGCGTTGATGGCAAGTCCAATCCGCCTAGCTTCAGTCTGAGGTACGTTTCCGCCATCGTCTCAAAATTCCATGCCAAGATGTTGATGTCATCGGCGATGGCAAGAAGCTGGATGGACTTCCTGAAGATCGTGCCACTTGTGTTTATCCCTACTCTTCTGATCACACCTTCTAACGCGATGTTGAACAGCAGACACGAAAGTCCATCACCTTGCCGTAACCCCCTTCGAGATTCAAAGGGAGTCGCCACCTCACAATGGTCCCAAGCAAACGATTAGCGTACCCCATTCTAGTCGAAATTCTAGTACTACACTATGTTTGTTTTGATTCGCTATGCAAGCTTGACGATACAATGAGGGGTTCGTGGATTTTCCTATGTTTCGAGGGGTGCATCGATTAGCTTGGAACCGAAGATAGTACCAGAGCTGAGCCAAAAAGTTGAGCTCGTTTCTTCGGGACCTTCTGGTCTTAGAGTTACCTCTATCATAGTACTGCTTCCACCTCTCAATCACCTCATACCCGTTCGTGAGAAGGTTACCGTCCAAGTCCTTGCTCATATCGACTTGCAGCACGTAGCATTTGCGCGAACTATTTAGCTTCTCATAGAACTTCCGTGTGTCGTTTACGCGGGACAGATTTTCCATCGCCTCGCGATCTCGGTCTTCCTGCTGACGCTTCTTCCTTCGGAAAACCGAGTTTTGTCTGTATCGCTCCACATTCAATCTCGTGCGTTGTTGCAGCATTCTCGCCCGTGCTGCATTCTTCTCCTCTACTAACAGTTTGCATTCGCCGTCAAACCAGTCATTTCTTCGGTCCGGGATTGCAGTACCTATTGCCGCTGCAGCAGTTCTACCTATGGCTGAACGGATGTCCCTCCAGCCATCTTCAAGAGAAGCTGCGCGTAGTCCTGGGCAACTCCGGCGTCCCGTAGTTGCTCAATGTTGGGTCACGGCGTACGACTTCGACGCGTGTTATGCACCGTCGAGAGTTTTGAGCGCATGCATACTGCAACTAGGTAGTGGTCCGAATCTATGTTCGCACTACGGTACGTGCGGACGTTGATAATGTCGAACAAGAATTTCCCGTCGATTAGAACGTGATCGATTTGTTTTTCTGTGTGTTGGTCAGTTGCTTAATCATGCCATAAGAGTATCAATCTCTTAAATAATTAATAATTAGTTTGACGCTTGGCTGAACAACGATCTTCTGCAAAGTTGAAGCTGAGAAAATTTCCCATAAGAATAGTAACAGAACTTGTTAACAGTATAATGTATGTATGTAAGGTAGCCACCATCCTTTCAAGACTTGTCTTGTATGCAGCTCCACTTAATAGCAAGATCAATTTGAGCTACCGATCTGACTTCACTATATCGCTGTATGAAGGGCCAAAAACGGAGGGGTGGACCCGTAAGCAGAGACACTTACGCGAAATCCACGGGAATTTAAGAATCTCCTTCCAACGATACGCTCCAACAAATCGAATAACACAATTCGCAATACTTATTAAGCTTCCTACTGGATGGTTTGTTAAGAAGGGCGCGTCAATCGCCCTGAAACTGTTGGAGTAGAATTCACACCACCACAATCGAATCGGTAGGATAAAGAAAATGATAGTGTTTATTCCCTCCTAGACTCCGGCTGTCAATCATACCATCGTCCAGTTTCAGTTTGAATGATACCCTGATGCTCCCTCCCAACCCAGTATTTATTTATATAATGAAAATGTATGCAATGGAGAAATGAAATATATCAGAACATTAAAATATGACATAATGAAATACATTTATATGGATAATATATATAAGATGCAGCTCTACACCTCCTCAGCTCACAACAGGTGGATGCAACACTGAAATGTATAGGATATATTAAGCAATTATATATATTTTGCTCGAATGATACTAACAATAATGCTAAAAATTGTGATGAATAACTAACATGACGAGAAATAACCTGCTTAATAATTATAAACATATAATATTATTTAATGCTTCTGTTTCATATTAATTTCGATGACTTGCTTGGGTAAACTGAAATATTAAGCTAAAGGTAATAGTATATCATGCAATGTATAATTTATATAATATATGTAGTGAAATGCAAAATGTATGTATGTATGCAGGTATTTCCTTAAAACACAGAAAATATAACAAAATACCAGTGGCGTCCCGTAACCTCACTATTTACCTGTGCATTAACTTTCAAAACCAGATTTAATGCCATATTCATATTCGAATCGGTTGAAAATACACTCAATCTTCTAGTTTACTCGATATCTATCTATTGCAAGCAATATATTGATTATTATTTATGTTTTGAGAGTTGGTGCACAGGTAGATCGAGGTTAAGGAAACGCCACTGGAAAATACAGAAAACCTCGATTTTAGTCACTCAAATTCTTTACACTCATGCTATATATGAAATTTTAATTGCATGGTATGATTGAACTCAACTTTGCCTATTTAATGAATCCACAATTTAAGTAAAGAATCAATTTGCTAAATAATCGAGGTTGTTTGAGCATACTAGAGTTATAAAAATAAGCATCAATGATTAATTCTTGAAATAGCAAAACTCTGCAAAGGTAAAACAATTTAATTTCATATGGTGATATTCAATTTATTCTCTGGGTTATCCAAATTCTGAAAACAATGAAATCTATATTATTGTATATATTATTATAAAATAAATGTAGATAACAATGATTTGATGTTTGATACACCTTCTGTAAATGAAAATTATAGTTACAATGATATAATGAGATTTTAAATATGTGAAATAAAAATAATTTACTAGTCATGCAATATATAATATATAATTAATGTAAAATAAACATGTACCGTAAAACAATGAATGTTTTTCAAATTTTATATTTTTAAAACAAGTACTGAGGATCCAAGAGTTAATGCGTTAGTAATATGTTGAACGAAAATTAAAGCATTTGCACTTTTTTTTTCGTTTTGTGACCTAACTTCTGCATTTTGATTTGGGGTTACTTTGATAATGCTCGATGAATGTAGAAAAAAAAATGAGTAAAACTCAAACAATTTAGTTCTTTAAATATGAAACTTTGAATGAGTATATAATCAGAAAACTTTAAAAGCAATAATAATTCAACATTGAATTTGTGATGGCTGCATCGGAAAAACATTTCATAAGTGATGGTTTGCGTGCTTTTTCAAAAGCGCGAAAAACACGAAAATGGTTTTTTAATATTTTTGTAAAATATGTAACACATACTATATAAAACTATATTCAATATCAACGGAAATACCCTAAGCTACAATATGGAATCAATGTTTCTTATTTGGAAAACGCACAGCGAGTAAATTTATTCTTTATATTATACTATCAAAGTTAACCACATTATCAAAGATACCTCGTTTTACGGTACTACAAAATACAAATAAGCTCGATTTTAGTTAACCTCCGTACATTTAACTGATTTATTAGATATTATTGGAATTGAAACAAAATCTTTATTATGCACCATGCAATCTTTAAACGCAATATGGAATGCTTTTATAAATATTGGTAAACTCTAATAATGAATCAATAGTCAGAAAAATCGAGGTTATTTGGGCAGTTAACAGTTTTCATGCACTTGTTATCATGCATTACAATGATGTGAACGAAGGCTGAAAAAGTGGTATGGTATTATTCAAAAAAAAAATTCCATCATCGAAGAGCTGAGAATCTACTTAAAGGTTTAAATCAATAAATCCAGCCTAAACGGAGGACTCACGAACACAATAAGCTCCCCCGTCACTTATATTCCAATTATTTTTTGATTATTAAATGAGTATTTACAAGTATACAATTAAATATATCAACAAGTAATGGAATTTTCTCTCCGGGAATGGATAAATAAAATGGTTAATTGCTCTGTCATATAAACGTTGAACATACATTAGAGAAAATCAATCAATGTTACGTTGCTTCTTCCAGTTGTGTTTTGATCCTGTTTTAAATATTTGTCATTGAATGTATAATAATAATATAATAGGACCTCGGATTTATTAAAACTCAAACTCCACGGTGGTGCCCTTTACACAAGAATAAGCCTCTACTGCCGACGATCTTTTAAACCTGGAAACAAAAAAGCCACGAAAAAGCGCTTATGCCCTCTTTAAATTCAACTCATACGCAATGTTAATAAAAAATAATAAGATTCTCTTGAATGGGTCGCGTCGCGTCGCGTCCACTCCGGCTGCGGCCTAAGACGGGTACAGAATCCATAAAACATTAACATTTTTGAGCTACCGTGCCCCTTCCCGAGCAAAGTCTGAGATCAAATTGAAATCTAAATTTGATGTTGTGATTTTGCTGATAATGATTGCTCAGGTTGCTGTCGTTTTGGTCGTTTTAACGGTTAAAATATCAAAATTGAGAGCAAAAAAATCTTCCTGTGACATCACATTGAAAACTATTTCTGCTATCAGTGAGAGCAAACTGAAAACTCAATTTGATATCAATTTTTCCTGTTGATAACAAAACAAGTATTCAATTTGATGTTATGCTAAGGCAATGAAAACAAACCCGCAACAACATATTTTTGAAGAGCAAATGTGCAGCAAAATGAAAACAAAATTTGTCAATTGCATAATCTGAAATCAAATTAGGATTTCAGTTTGATGTTGATATCAAAATTTGATTTCAATTTGCTGTCATTTTGATGCTGGACTTTGCTCGGGTTACTTCACGCTTGACGCTTTACCAGCGTAAAAGCTAGCAATGCTAAATAGTAATTACTGTTCACAAGTAATACAAATCCGTATTTTTGGTAGCACTGGTAGCAAGCTCCAATTTCCGATGCGCTGCAACTCCGTTGTCAGTATATTCTAATACACACGTACACGCTTATGCTATACAACTAAATCGAGATCCATCGAAGAAGTGCGAGCCAGAGAGAAACGCATTGATTGGAAAACAATGAATCCCTCCATTTCCGTGTGCTAGATAGAGAAAGACGATAAAACGTTATAAAGCTCTATGCAGATGAGAATCGAATTCGATTTCAACGCTGTTCCCCTGCAAGCGAGTAGTTCGTCAGATCCAAAAGCGAGCCAACGAAAGAGACGATCAGTTTCACATTACTCGATCTCCTGTCCCTGTCATGGATTCCAAGTCATAAAAGCAAGACAAATGACACCCGTGGATGGACCATCTCTTGCAACTCAGCACACTCACAGGAAGCCTGTGAAAATACAATCGTATCCGAAAAACAGGCAGGAGGAGAAGCTATCCATTCCAAAATTTTACGTGATACAGTTCATGGATGCCCCCTTAGTGAAAGAGAAAGATAGAAATAGGTAGATGGTAGAATGGAGAGATCTCACCAATATTTATATGCGTCTGTGTTCCGTATTAGCCGCACGGGCACGCTCGTACTCATAGTTGTGTATGTATTTGCCTAGCATCGTACGCCGGTTCCACCGATTCTGCTGCATCTTCAACAAACACAACACGAGCCTTTTTGCACACACATAAGCTTGCCCAAAATCGAATGCTTTTAGCTTTTCGGAATTCACAAATGACTTCGTTTTTTTTTTCATCTTTTCCACATTCACTAACACAAAACAAAAAATTTGCATCCGCCATTTCTTCAAGCCCATTTCACTATGATGGCATTGGACTTTTTTCTTTTAACTTCCGTTCACTGCACATCCTCTGAATAGAGTCATTATCAGTCATTATTGTAATAATGTCTTGAATGACAATTTAATCACTCCTCCATGCAGCCGAACTAATAAACTCGCCGACACATATATAAAAATGCAGATATACCGGGAGAAAACTTATGCACCTCCACTCGCGGCAAAACCACGATCCGAACTGGAACAGAACTTGTTAACAGTATAATATGGAAAAAAGGCTAGAATACAATGAACAAATAGTTTGATTTTCCCATAGTAATTTCCATTTGAACTTCAAATGGTTTGTGCCAAGTCAGTTTCTTATCAAATGAGTTTAAACTTTCGGAGGCTAATCAGGACCCGATTTGGAACCGTTTGAGCACTGTGGAGCGAACATTTCAAATTTTGCATCAGTCTATTGAACACGTTAATAGGTTCCCAATTAAGGTCTCCCATCTTATTCTTGCTTAAGAATGGCCTTCCACACGTCGTTGACACTTTTCACCAAATTAAATTGATTCTAATCCACAGACATTTTTGATCAATTTTCTTGTGCCAATAATCAAATTCCTGTTCGGTTTCAACGACATTAACATTGTTTACCCTTTCTTTTCCTAATTTTGCAGACTCATCAAGCCGAATTTGCTCCCCTTTCGTACATACGGCGGGACGGTTCCAATTATTACATCACCGATTCCAGCTCAACCGATACTCTGAGTAGCATAGTAAGTCCTCCCTACCCTTAAATACAATCAAAGTCTCAAATTCTCTGTTTCCACTCATCTGCAGAGTGACAGCAACAGTACATCGAATCAACCATCCAACAATGGCAGCGGCAACCACCCGACGACGAACAACGGTACCTCGTCGTCGTACATCCGGCGGAAGCTGAAGGAGTTCAACACGACGGTCCGCTTCAAGAGCGGGAAAGACTCCGTCCACAATGAAGCCTTCGAGTGGATCGGAGACGATGACCTGTAGAAGACAACAATAATGATGCTCTCTCTCTCTCTCTGACTCCCTTCCTCATCAGTCCTGATGCATTTAAGTTGTATTGCAATTGCAATACATACCTAAATACCAACACTGCTACCAACCAACCAAGCCGGTTGCTTCAGCCTGAACAATGTTTTATTTTTTTTTTATAACAAACACATTCAAAACATTTTTTAACCTGTTGTACATTGTTTCCCCCTCTTCCTGTTTGTTTTATTTATCATATTAAGAGACTTTCGTCTTCTGCATTATGCGCATGTATTTAGTTGTAAATTCAGAACATTTTGTAATTGTACCTTATTATATATGATAATCGAAAAACAAAAACAATATCTTCATCATTTAGAAGCAGAGCAGATAACAGAAGAAAAAAATACTGAGGCAAATATGTAAAGTCTTCCACGCCACAGACGACGAATATTAGCATTATTCCAACTTTTATCCAGTCGATTCCCCGTCCTCAGCATGAAATAGTATCAAAGTGCATTATTTACCGACCTCAATATCAGGATCGCTACTCCCTTTCTCTCGGACAAGTTAGGACTAAGGACTTAGGATCCCAGCAAACATTGAATGCTGAACAAGACCTACTACTAAGCTAAAACGTTTGTTTCAAGACAAAAAAGCAGAGAATGCCATTTTTGGAAACTCAAAATACAGAGTCCATAAGACTAAACCCATCGTTTATTTTTGTCTTAATTGTAAGTTGAAGTTTTGTTCAAATGTTCATTTGTGCCAATACCTCCCTCATGTCTATTTTCCCCCTCTCCCCCAACCTACGTAAATGATGAAACTGTTCCGTTAAGGTTATAGAAGGACATATTACAAAATAGCATATCCAATGGAATATACAACCTACTAGCAATCGAAAAAGTTGTGAAAATTCAATCAAGCTACTAAAGAAGAAAGCTAGCAAATCAAGTCACAATTCAAGAGCAACGTTCGCAGGGAACCAACTGACGAAGGTTACGTAAATAACGAAAATTTGTAATATTACTGCGGCGAACCCCGCTAATAGCTGCTACTACCTACTATTACCCAACCACTACATACTCGGTGTAAAGGAAAGCAACACACAACTGTAAATGTTATCTTATCTGGTCTGGCTATGTAATTGGAATTCGTGAAAGGAAACGAATTACTCTGAACGAATAAAAACTATCTTTATTTGAATATTAAAACCCTCTTGTCATTATGCGGTAAAATTCAGTTCAACGAAACCGATGCACTTTGTCCCCTACCAACCTAGAAGCGCAGAATCTCAAACTTCCCCCTCGCCATACAGAACAACTGTACCGCCATCCCGCTGATACCCAGCACCTAGCAGAGCCTCACTCGGGTGGAAACCAACACAGACAGCTCCTCCCTCTTGCCCACCGCAGATCCTTTCCCCTTCGATCGAATACACCTCCAGCAAAGCATCCCCCGCGAAAGCCACCACGTCCAGCCGTTCGTGAACGGCCACATCAATCGGAACAGCAGCCACCGACCACTTCTTTACCGCCGGAATCATCTTTCTCAAATCCACCAGGTGCACGCTGCCCCCGCTGCATACACTCACCATGCTCAGATCGTCCGGACGGAGACTAACCGCCCGAACCGGGTTGCCATGTTTCGGTCCGACTGCAACCTTTCCGTCCGCTTCAGCCCGGATGTCGAACAGCCGAACGGTACCGTTTTCCAATCCGGCAACAACGTTGTAGCTTCCATTGCTCGCCAAGCCAGTCACCGCTTGATCCGTTCCAATGCTGACATCACCCAGGGTGAGCTCCTTTTCGAGATCCCACTTCCGAAGGTACTTGGCGTCGCCGCCGGTCATCAACTGACCGCTCCCGATCAAGGCCATCGATACGCCATGGACCTTGTGCGACGGTGCGCTATCGAAGTCGTACAAAGCCTGCCAAACGGTGATCAACGTTGGATCCGATTTCCAGTGGGGTTGCCACATGCGGACGGATCCATCATGGTAGCCCACCAGTAACGAAGACCGGCCTTTAGGGGTGTCCATCAGTAGGGATGTGGCCTTCGCTGGTGCGTCCAAGTGAGCCTTACAACCGGTGGTGTAATCTCGCCAAGTAACATCGTCCCTGGAATGAGCGAAGAAGTTGTATCGATTAAACTAGTGCTTTTTCGAGGAAACGTTGCGAGAAATCCTGCTTACTCAGATAGTGGGAAAAGGGGAATTCTTGAGTCAGGCTTCAATGCTTCACTTCCATGGTAATTAAGGGGAAAAAAAGGCACCGTGTTTCGCTTGAACTTCTAGAAACTATAAATATGAAAACCCGTTTAATCGAATGGAAAATGGCAAATTGCAAAGTTAACAGCATCGGCCGAAAAAGAAAAAAAATGTACGATGGGTTTAAAAACCAATTCTTTATTTGCAAATGAACCGATGATTTTTTTTAATCTTTATTAGCAATAGGCTAGTTCATCTCGGTCAAGAGAAGGAAGGCACCAGAAGGTCCCTCCCCAGAAGGGGTGGATCTCGAATGCTGAGCTCCATCGTCGATGTCATCAGAAACGTCGAAAACGTAAGTGGAGGTGGGTCAACCACACTCAACGAAGGAGCGGAAACGAAATCTGCATGCAACCGCTGGATTGAAACCCGGCAGGACATCGTGGCAGACCCAGAGGCTCATGGCGGGGGGTGTGAAGTTGTTCGCCTCCCCGTGGTGCACCCTGGAAACGATGGACCACCAGTGCTGCGGTACTGATCCAGTCGGCTAATCGAACAACAAACGAGGGGAAGCGCCGGAAGGCGCCTTGCGATCGATGTCAGTAAGATCGCAAGTATGTATACTGACACACTGGCATTATGTAGGACACTGAGTGGAAACTTACCATAAACCACGCTACGGGCTGGCACTCAAGGTATTTCATTCTCTTAGTAGAGTCGGGTGGAACCGGCCGAAACAACGTTTGAGCTAATGCCTTGTTTGTCTCCGTCCCATAAAACCCTGGCAGGCCTTAGAATACGTTCCTCCCGTGCCACCCAGTTGGGGCTGCGGTGGGAATAGGTTCGGTTGAGTTATTCCCGTCTTACGCGATCCGGCTCTGAACATAACGCCCCATGAAGGCCTATGTCAACCCTCGTCATGGACCTCACTGCTCGCATAGGCACCCATGGGGATCAATCAGCGACTATTCCATTTGCACGGTAGGATAGCGGTCTAAGGGGGACCCAACAGTCGGGATGATTAAACAAAATCATCAAAAAAGTCAAAAACCCCAAACCCCAGGTGAAAAAGTCGCCGAGGAGGCGACCGCGAACCCGTTCGCGAAGGGAGGTCTACCCAGATCTCCCGAACACAGTGAGCCGAACAAACGGCCGAAATCTCCACGCGATGCAGAGACAACGGCCGAGATCGGTGGACAGTCGGAGGAGCAGCCGAAGGACTGGCCCGGGCTAATCAGAACCATGAATAGCTTTGGGCCCCTCCCTAGGCTGCTTGCAATCGCGGGACAGCTCGACGCCATAATAGAGTTCACGAGCACGAAGAGCAACATCGCGAAGGACCTAAAGCAGGCCTTGCGACAGCTCCGTGCAACCGTGAACGAGGCCCAGGACGACCACGAGCGGCTCAGGAAGCGACTAGAGGTCGCAGAGAGGGCGGAACAGAAGGAACCGAAGTCTACCCAGACGGACGCCTTCAACTTCGCGGGCAACAATACGATGTCCAGCGAGGCCCTCCACTTTGCCGTTACGCAGGGACAGAAGCGAAATCGGCCCTCACCTTCGCCAGTAAAGGGCGCAGCACGCCCTAAGAGACGGAAAGTCTCTGTGCAGGTGGAGAGTGTGGCGGTTGCCCATCAGTCCACTGCATTAGTGGACGTACCGAAAAAGAGGGCTGGAATAGTCAGTAGCAAAGTTGAGAAATGTAGCGGCTCCAAGGGCGGGAAGCAGGGCGAAACCCCCGGACAAAACTGCCCCCAAGAGCAGTGCTGCCTGGACCAGGAACAAGGGTGAAGCTCTCATCTTCAAGACGGACGCGTCGAAATACGCGGAAGTCTTGAAGAAAATGAGAACGGACGAGCGCCTTGTGGAGATGGGCAGTAACGTGAGGAGCATCAGGCGCACTCGAACAGGCGAGATGCTCCTGTTGCTCAAACGTGGTGCTAAGGACCAAGGACCAATCTACCAGAAACTGGCAAAGGAGGTTGTTGGTTCTGGGGTGCAAGTGAAGTCGCTAGGCTCGACTATCACCATCCAGGTCAAGGACCTAAACGAAGTGACGGAGGTGACCGAGATAGTCACGGCGCTCCGGGAACAGTGTCAAGTCGAGGTACCGCAATCAGCGATTACCTTGAGGAAGGGACTGTTTTCCACCCAAGTGGCTACCATCAGGCTCTCTGCAGTTGAGGCCAGAAAGGCGGTAGCCGCAGGGAGGGTGCGAGTGGGCTGGTCAGTCTGCCCCATCAGTATTCCCCGATCGGTTACGGCTTGCTTTAGGTGCTTCGGTCAGGGCCATGTGGCCCGTGACTGTAAGAACACCGACAGGAGCAAGCTTTGCAGATGGTGCGGCTCGGAGGGCCATAAGGCGCGAGGTTGCCAAAAGCCGCCGAGGTGCACTATATGCGCGGAGAAGGGGAATACCCCTACCAACCACATAGCAGGTGGACCACGCTGCCCGGGGTCCAAGAGCAATGCTGCTAAGGCAAAGAGCAATGCTCAGCCATGTTCGAGGTAGCGCAGTTGAACCTGAACCACTGTTCGGCTGCCCAGCAACTGCTGTGGCAATCGGCAGTGGAATGGGGAGCGGATGTCGCAATCATCTCTGACCCGTACCGCGTCCCAACCGGCAACGGGAATTGGGTCACGGACGCGTCGGGGATGGCGGCGATATGCACGATGGGGAGCTTCTCCATTCAGGAGGTAGTCGTGTCCAATTCGAGCGAGGGATTCGTGATCACCAGGGTTAATGGAGTATACTTAAGTAGCTGCTATGCTCCGCCCAGGTGGTCTATCGAGCAATTCTCGCAGATGGTGGACAGACTGACTGCGGTACTTGTCGGCCTAAGACCGGTGGTCATTGCGGGCGACTTTAACGCATGGGCGGTAGAGTGGGGTAGCCACCACACCAACCAGAGAGGACGCATCCTACTGGAGGCAATGGCCAAGCTGGACGTTGTACTATCCAACACCGGCTCGGTCAGTACCTACAGAAGGAATGGTGCAGAATCCGTCATCGACGTGACATACTGCAGCCCGAGTTTGGAGGGCAACCTACACTGGAGGGTCGATGAGGGTTACACTCATAGTGACCATCAGGCGATTCGGTACAGTGTGGGGCCAGGTGAGAGGCGAGTGGCAGGAGGAAATTCTTCCTGCGCTCGAGGCTGGCGGACGTCGTTCTTCGAGGAGGAGGTCTTCGGCGAAGCACTGAGGCGGGAGCGAATAACCCCGGATCTGACGGGGGAAGAACTGGTAGCAGCACTGACAAGGGCGTGCGATACAACCATGCCTAGGAGAGCCTATCCCAGGCATGGCCATAGACCGGTGTACTGGTGGAGCGAGTCGATTGCTATCCTCAGGGCGTCTTGCCTCCAGGCAAGAAGGAGGATGCAACGAGCTCGTACGACTGAATCTCGGGAGGAACGCCGCGTCGCTCTCCGAGCGGCTAAGGCAGCCCTCAATAAAGAGATCGCCAGACGCAAGCGCGCGTGCTTTGACAGCCTATGCCAAAGCGCCAACACGAACCCATGGGGGGATGCTTACAAAGTGGTCATGGCAAAGACCCGCGGCGTGACGGCACCCCCGGAGAGATCACCAGCGGTACTGGCTCCGATCGTTGGGTTCCTGTTCCCGCGTAGGGACGTAGACTCCTGGCCGCGGATCCCAGGCGCGGATCAGGGAGAAGTGTCTAGAGTGACGAACAGTGAACTTGGCGGTATTGCCAGGTCGCTGGTGGTGGGCAAGGCCCCGGGCCCAGATGGGATCCCGGTTGTGGCTCTGAGGGCGGCCGTTGCGGAAAATCCAGACATGTTCCGTTCTGTTTTTCAGACTTGTCTGGACGTAGGCGTCTTCCCAGACGCGTGGAAGCGGCAGAAGCTGGTGCTGCTTCCGAAGCCAGGAAAACCCCCTGGGGACCCGTCAGCATACAGACCCATCTGTTTGCTGGACACCACTGGGAAACTGCTTGAGAGGGTCACCGAAGGTGTAGACGGCCTGTCAAGCAGCCAGTACGGGTTCCGAAAGGGCAGATCCACGGTGGACGCCATCCGCGACGTCATCCAGACGGCAGAGGTGGTCCATCGGAAACGAAGGGGCATTCGCTACTGCGCGGTGCTAACCTTAGACGTGAAGAACGCGTTCAACAGCGCGTGCTGGGGGGCGATAGCCCGCTCGCTACACCAGCTCCAAATTCCCGGAGGGCTGTATAAGATTCTGGAAAGCTACTTCCAGAATCGTGTGTTGACGTACGACACAGAAGATGGCGAAAAATGCGTTAGAGTCACCGCAGGTGTGCCACAAGGCTCCATCCTGGGCCCGGTGTTATGGAACGTCATGTACGATGGACTGTTGAGGATAAAATTCCCGGTAGGCGTGAAAATTGTAGGTTTTGCCGACGATGTCACGCTGGTAGTCTGCGGGGAATCCCTCGAGGAGGTAGAGCTGACAGCGGGCCACTGCGTCAGGCTTGTGGAGGAATGGATGAGAACCAGGAAACTGGAGCTCGCCCATCACAAGACGGAAGTGGTCGTAGTCAACAATCGCATGTCAGTACAGCATGCGACGTTGACAGTCGGCGGAAGCACAATTAGGTCTGTGCGCTCTCTAAAACTCTTGGGGGTCATGCTCGACGATAAGCTCAGCTTCGGCTGCCACGTTGAGTACGCCTGCAAGAGAGCGTCTATGGCTGTGGGGCATTATCCCGTATGATGTCAAACAACTCGGCAGTCAATGCCAGTAAGCGCAGGCTCCTCGCTGGGGTCGTAGTATCTATCCTCAGATACGGCGGCCCTGCGTGGGCTGGATATTGACTGCCACAGGCAGAAGTTAGAGAGTACACACAGGCTAATGTGCTTAAGGGTGGCCAGTGCATACCGCACTATCTCGAGAGAGGCCGTCTGTGTCATAGCAGGGATGATGCCAATCAGCCTTATCATTATGGAGGATGTGGTGTGCTATGACGCGAGGACCGTTCGAGGGGTGCGCAACAACGCGCGAGTTGTGTCGACCGCGAGATGGCAATCGGAGTGGGAAAACTCCACAAAGGGGAGGTGGACTTACCGCTTGATACCTTCCGTATCAAGCTGGGCACCAGGCGCCATGGGGAAGTAAACTTCCGCCTGACAGGCCATGGCTGCTTTAGGAGCTACCTGCATAGGTTCGGACATGCAAGTACTCCCATCTGCCCCACTTGTGCTGGTGTCGAGGAGACCGCCGAACACGTCGTGTTTGCCTGTCCACGTTTCGAACCAGTATCGAGCGCTATGCGGAGCGGATACCAGTCCGGATAACATCGTTCATAGGATGTGTGGTACCACCGAGAACTAGAGCGCGGTGGTGACTGCGGTCACCCACATAGTTTCGGTATTACAACGACAGTGGCGAGCCGAGCAGCAGTTACCTACTGCCCGACCAGATCGTTAGAGTATTGCTAGAGAGGCGCCATAGCGCTACAGCGGCCCCTCCCACGAAGTAATGCCTTCGGGCGGTTCCGGGGAGGTCAAGGGCCAAGCGCACAGGGTAAGGTTTAGTGGATCGGGAGTGAAATTCTCCCATCCCCACACCCTGACTTCCTTCTCAGGTGTCTGTGAGCAGATTCCCCCCTGTATAAAAAAAAGAGGCTCATGGCGGCGGAGCCTCAACAAGGAAGTCGACAGGAATCTGACCGGGGCCCAAGTCAAGGCAAAAGCGAGTAGCCGCCCAGGCCCAGGATGAAAATCTTTCGTGTTGGCCCTATGCACCACTAGGGGTGTTGACACCGGGATAGACTGGCCGAAACTCAGGGCCTGGGGTGCAGTAATCATCAATACGAAAACACACAACAAACTTCACATTACAAAATAGTCCAAATTTACAATAATTGTTTTATTACCTCAATCTATTTTCAATCTGTGGGCAAAGGCTGCCAACGGGGCGAGCGAACGCGCGCGGTCTACACAGAGTTCGTCGCGGTCTACACAGAGTTCTATCGAACTGTTCTATTGCTGCTGCTGTTGCGGTGGAAGTGGGGTAGGCATGTGAGGGATACATCTATTTTCAGGCTATTGAAAGCACAGTACGTTCTACCCTGTATGTGCCTATACGGCCGGTTTGATCTGCTTGTGAGAAGCGTGGAAATGTCCCAGCCGATGGAACTATTGTTTCTCATCATATGGACGTCGATCAGCTGTGTGCTGCTTAGAGCCGAGTTGGAGAGTAAGAACGAGAATCTTCTCTGCACTATAGGCACGGGGGGTGACCATGGGGGTCAACATATTAACAGAATGCGGTTTACGTTCGGCGTGGACAAGGGGTGTGCAGGATACATGAGTGAGTGAGTCTACAACTCTAAAAAATTAATAGCGGATTTACCCGTTTGGTTGGGCAAAAAATCTAACCACTAAAAGATATACAATCGTAAGTTGATTTCATAGACTACAAATTACCGTACTAAAGTTTTTTTTAAATACTAAAAAACAATCAACATAGGTAGGAATCAGACCATCACCATCACCAACTTTCACCGCGTCCAGCGATACTCACTTGCAGACGGTGACCATCTGTCGGTCCGACCCGAAGCGCACCATTTCCGGCACCTTCTGCGCGTGGAAGCTCTTCAGCTGATGGTTCAACAATGCCAACGTTGGATTTCGCGGTACCGAAAGGCCATTCAAAGGCGTAGAATTACACTCCTTCGTCGATTCGTCCTTGAATACCTCTTCTGTAGCATGCAGCAAATCCCGACAGAGCCGACCATACAGTGGCTTCCGCGTTGGGAGTGGAAAATTCGACTCATTACAATCCACATTCGTCTTCTTCTTTTTCTTCTTGTCTTTCGATTCCAGTTCGGCCACCCGTTCCCTCACAAATGTGACCAAGGAACGCATCGAGGTGGCCACTGTCTGGTCCGGGTCCGTCTGAAGGGCAACCATTACCCGCCACGCTCGGCCGAGTTCGGTGTCCGAGTTGGCCGTTTGGGACCTTTTCTTCGGTTGCTGCTTGGCCTTGGCCTTACCCTTGGATTTCAATGGTTCCGGTTGTTGTTTGGCGCAGGTTGTTTCTTGCTTGCAAACAGCGATAAGCTCCTTAATTCGATCGGCTGCGATCACGGCGATCAAGGCATCGGTGACCTCTCGGCGTACGAATGAGCTCGAACTGATGCTAACCATGGACAGGAGCCTGTCGATGCAGACATCTTGATTCTCCGATGAGATCCAGCTTTCGAGAGCGGCAGCTCGAACTTTGGGCTCGGGATCACTCAAGAGGTCTTGAAAGCGGTTTCTCAGACCAGGCAAGTCTTCATCGGACAATGTAGCTGCCAGGAGAACAGACCACGTTCGTACTTTGGCTTCCGTGTGGCGCATCAGCTCGGAGCAAGCTGCTCCCAGGGCCTGTTTGTGGTTCGAATTGCGCATGGTTGAATTATTTTCAAACAAAAGCTGCAGGAAAAGCGTCTGGGCAATAAGTCCTGAATTCGGTTCCGCTTCCAAGTTGACGCACAGATTAACGTCGACATCGGATATCATAAACTGCTCAAGTTCTAATTCGTTTGCAATGATTTTAACCAGGCATTCGATCGTCTTCTGGCGCATTCCATCGTCTTCCCAGTGCAGCAAAAGAATAGCTTGATTTAGGATGCATTCCTGAAGTTGCCAATCTTCCGCCACCTTTGTCCAACAAACATTCAAAGCTTCCAGAGCCTTCGAACATTCCTTCGATTTAGTCAATGCTGGTAGCAGAAGATTAGGATGCTGAAGAGAAATAGACTTAAGTATTCCCTTAGAATCAATCAAATCGTCCAAATTGATACTTACATCCTGGTAGTGATCGTCCAGAAGAATCCGGAAGAATGCGACCACAATTGGGCATTCCCTCTCGCTTTGTACGGAAAGCAACATTGCCGTCATGTCCATCAGGTGATCCCAGATCGCCCACAACCGGTGCTGACTGCAATCGGGAAGGTCTGGTTTCGAAACGGCATTACAACCGAAACTTTTCAGAACCCTCTGCGATAGGAGAAACCTTCGGAAAAGCGTCCCCGTTAGAAGATCCTTGCGGAACAACTCATAGAACTTCTCCCTCGGCAGCGAATCCTTCGCAATAGCATCCGTAATCAGCGTCAGTACCCAATCCAACTGTCCCAAGAGCATCTGCCTGTCGGTCAACTCTCCTGGAACTGACTGCATGGCGGTTGTTCTATTCGTCTGAACGCAGTGCCATTCGTAAGCCGCTTGTACCGGAACCGATAACAAGTTAGTGAACAGCTCACGGTTAGGAAGCGTCTCTCCGTCGGAGCATGCTGCCAAATGATAATTCTTGTCCTCGTCATCGCAATCCTCCAGAAACATACCAGCCGAATCGCATTCGTACACATACACCACTTTCGTTGCGCCGAGCCACTCCTGCACTTGCTTCCGCATCACCTGCTCCAATTTGCCGGAGTATCGGTCATCATTCACCCAAAAGCTCGCTTCGACTTCCGGTTCGCGTTGCGCAGCTCTCACCTGCTTCGCCTCACAGTTGACGTGGACTACTGGCCGCCATCTATCGTCACCCAGCTCAAACATTTCACCAATCCAGCGACATCCCCGTTGCAAATCGAGCAGACTTGAATCCGGAATGCTTCGGAATCGAGCCGGGGCGTAGTGAGAATATTCCAGGTCCATGTTCAAGTCGGACGCCACCTGCACCTCCTCCAACCACAGGATGTTGATCCAGGAGTTGGTCCGGGCGGATAGCTCCCACGCCACCACATCCGGAAGTTTAACCGCTGTGTTCAGGTGAACGGAACACCATTCGTCATGCGAAACGACCCAAGCTAATCAGATGGGTGCGGGTTAAGTTAATTGAGGCATTTTTTCCAACAATTTCAGTGCAATTACCTGATTCCATTGCCAATTGACACCGGTTGCGGTGTTTTCAATTAGAATTTCCACAAAATTTAAACGAGTTTACGAAAACAAATTTACTTCCTGCGTGAAAATTTCTTGTTTGAAAAATGCTTTTAACCTCATGCGAGCGAGGCATGAAAAGCTCTAGGTTAACACTGAGTCAAAATAGCATATCGAACTGTGATGCAGGGCAACAGATCAAGGTGAGTCGAGTGGTGAGTATATATATACACTGTAACTGGCAAGTACCCATTAATGGGTGAAAAAGTACCCATTTCGAAGTAAAGTGGGTAAACTCATAAAATGGGTAAAACGTCTTTACCCAATAATGGGTAAAGAGCTTGTACGTCAAATCATCGGGTACTTTTTACCCATTTTCAGAAATGAAACGATTTAGAAAATGGGTAAAAAGTATACATTTTCGATAATTGAGCTATTTAGAGATTAATTTTAATTTCATTTTACACATATATCATTGAAATGGCGGAAACATTAACATTAATAACTTGTTTTCATTTATTTCGATAATAATGATTGTTAAAATGCATAATTATTGCCACTTCCGGGAGGTTCACTTACATCCGCAGAGTCTTCTTGTGCTCCTAGAAGGATCATACCGCTTTCCAACTTGGCATACCCTGTCCCTGCTGTGCAATGTGTTGCTTTTGCATCGGAAATTCCTTCTTGCCATCCTTTCCTGGAACACTTTGTGCACGGCCACTTCCTTGTGGATCTGAAATTAAGCAAATTAAAATTATTAAAGTTCTTCTGAATTTCATAATGTTCACCGCCTAGATATATTCCAAATAAATACTTACTTCAATACTCATTTTATTAGGCACAGATGACATAAAAAAACCATTTTGAAATCCTCGTAAGATGATTTGTGTTAGACAGTATTCACTATTGATCAAGATAATTTTCACCCAATAATGGGTAAAATAATACTCATTTTTCTTCCCCGAAGGGGTAAAAAAGATGGGTACAAAAGAACCCATTTCCAAAAATATTCAATTACCCATTATTTGACAGCTTCATATACTTACTAATCATGGGTACTTTTATACCCATTAATGGGTACTTGCAAGTTACAGTGTACGGCAATTGAGATCAACCCAAATTTGAGTTTAGTTTATTCATAATCGCAAAAAAATGCAGGAGCTCCATTTTATCGATTATATCCAATATAATCGAGCTTAAATCTCTAAAAACGGATAATATCTGTTTGTATCGCTCACATCTCTGTTATCGGATCACATCACATCTCTATAATTATCATGACAAGTAACGTTGACACCCGTTTGTTTATAAGAAAGGAACATCACGAAATCTCGACCAACATTACAAAAAGGTGAATAAGCTTTTGTAATCAAACTTTTAATGCTCTTTCCTCGTGAACCGAAGCTTGTCTTGCAAAACCAACAACACCATCAGGTAGGGAAAATTCTCTGCTATTCGATAGTGGCGTTCGATTGGTTAGGTGAGCTTCGGTATGCGAGATAAGGTCATTACAATTTGTTTGATCCACCCATCTGTATTGTTGGTCGAGCTCGAAAATCTTTGTTCTAAAACAAATCTATAGATAGAGCTGGAAGTAGCATAGAGGTAACTCTTAGACCAGAAGGTCCCGAAGAAACGTGCTCAATTTTTTGGCTCAGCTCTGGTAGAGTCGGTGTATAATGAGTCACGCCAAGAGAAAAACAGTTGAACTCGCATCACGGTTTTCGAAAGATTCCCTTTCTTTTCACTTGGCAACAGAGGACTTCTGCATCAACTTCAAATGACTTCTAGCGAGGAAAAAAAGTAACGGCTGTAGTAAATAATTAAATTAGTGATTTTGTCAATTTATCTTAACGAAAAATAGTAGAAATTCTCACTAATGACTAAGGTCCCAAGCAGTCCCAAGCTATTTCACTCACCCCTGCATGTTCTGCATGAATCCACACACCCCTGATGTTATCTGTCAAACTTTCATAGCGAATCAAAACAAACATAGTGTAGTAATAGAATTTCAACTAGAATAGGGTACGTTAATCGTTTGCTTGGGACCAATAGGCTACTAAAGTGGTGAGCCAATTTAAAATCGTTAGTTTCGTATTGATTGTTGGAAGAAGTCAGCCGTCACTCGTTGGTAAACTCATCACCGAAGCCGTTTATTTTTTTATTTTATTTATTTATTAATTAATTTAACCTGAAGACTCACGTCTGGACCTCGGTCCGGAAACTGTTCAGGACCTACTAGCAACAATCAATACGAAACTAACGATTTTAACGAATAACGTACCCTATTCTAGTTGAAATTCTATTACTACACTATGTTTGTTTTGATTCGCTATGAAAGTTTGACAGATAACATCAGGGGTGTGTGGATTCATGCAGAACATGCAGGGGTGAGTGAAATAGCTTGGGACTGCTTGGGACCGTTGTTCTGGTACTGAGTGAGCCAAAAATAATGATGATTTTCTTCGGGACCTAGTGGTCTTAGAGTTACCTCTATGCTACTAGCATAGAGGTAACTCTAAGACCAGGAGGTCCCGAAGAAACGAGCTCAACTTTTTGACTCAGCTCTGGTACCATAGAGGTAACTCTAAGACTAGAAGGTCCCGAAATAACGTGCTCAAGTTTTTGGCTCAGCTCTGGTACTCTCTTCGGTCCCAAGCTAATCGATTCACCCCTCGAAACATAGGAAAAACCAATAACCCCTCATTTTATCTGTCAAACTTTCATAGCGAATCAAAACAAACATTGTGTAGTACTAGAATTTCGACTAGAATGGTGTACGTTTGTAAGCCTCTAGACTAACTCGGGGAAAATCTAAGGGTCGCCTACGGAACTAAATATCACACTCACATCCAACTGCCACCTGTTAACAGCAGGAACGTATATGTTGTTTAAAAGTAAGCAATAACCACAAACGATGCACCTGAAAAAGAATAACACAAAACACATGGGGAAGCTCAAAAGCCAACGAAGTTCCAATTTCTGCACTATGAACTCCCGGACGAGGCCTGAAGACCCCTTTCGGGTCCGGGGAAAACGAGGACAAACGAAAAGGTGGTGGAATAAATTTAAAGGACTGCACTCTCTAAAAAATAGCCGCCTTTTATAACATTTTAGCTGTTTTTATTTTAACCTAGGGTGCCGTCACATGCACTTGCACTGGGTACTTGCGGTTTTCTGGTAGGTGGGTAGGTCGACCTTCGTAGCAGGATCATCGATGATTCGGCTGTAGCGACCAGCATGACATCGCTGACATTTCGGCTTTGTTTCTGCTGTCTCGATTGCTGGTGAATTGCCGTCGGAGCTGATGATGAGGTCGCCGTTGAGTTTACGATTAACCGGTGATCGCCGATAGAAGCACCGGTGGCAACGTGGATCAATCGGCGCAATCGACCGTTCAGAGCGCCGGTTGTGAGGCGGTGAGGCTGATGAAAACGCCGACGTCGAATCGTTGTTACGATGTGGATGATGCCACTTGCTTGATGCCAACAAGATGGCGGTCCTTCGTCTATTCTCGAGTGGCCTTTTTGATCGTCGAGAGCAATGGCGGATCTTCTGCTCCACGCTGATTCTTCCAAGAATGTCTGATGAGGATAGTGGACCTGGACGCTGATGGGGTTTCCTGTCCGTGAAGAAATCGATTCCGATACCACTGACTAACGTGGATCGCCTGGCTGGTATCGGTGACTAAAGTGGCGACTAGTCTGAACGCTCGCCGAATGGTCCGGTGCCACTATCCTTGGCTCCTCTTGACTCTTTCTGCGGAAGAGAGTTTCGGAACTTGTCCGAATAGGAAAAAAGGCCCAGATAATGGACCTACCCAACCCATTAGTGCTATGACGTCACAATATAGGCTGTCCTGGGCTACATTATATAATTTAACAATTTAATTACCTTTTTCCTAATTTCTACGTTGGATAACACGAAAAACTTATTGAATGCAGTATCAGCAGTAAACCTAATGGAGATTAGAAAATATTTTCTTTTTAACTTTACTTTACCCTAGCTTTAATTTTTACAATATCCTTCTTTTAATCACTTTTAATTTTCACTACCTTTTAAATGATTTTAACTACTGCCATTAACTTTATAACACCACATAAATATAAATCAACTTTTTATTTTTTATTTTAGGAACACGCGCGCACTTCCACTTCCTACGGAGTTCACGGACAGAAGAGAGCGAACAATTCTACGGCTGAGCCGATCAACCCATGCTATGAAACATCGAGTCTTTGTCACTTGATGTTCTTTGTGTCACTTTTTTCCGTGGCATCATTTGTGGTCATGCTTTATATTTACGGCGCCGCGGAGCGGCAAACGATATCTTTCGCTGGTTCAAACCGCTGCCAACAAACAATGAGAGTCAGACATGATTGTGATATTTAGGGAATAGGGTTCTGTATTGGGATGGAACACCTTATAAAAAAATAATCGCAAGGTGACAAAGTCATCTGCTACGTTTAATTGTAACCACTGGTTACAATGCCCCACCATTACCCTTTTGAAATGAACGAAGTTTGTTTCAAAACTGCTGTACCAATATTTTCCATAAGCCCTTTTGCAAAATTCACCTTCTTCGCTCGTGTGAAGAAGAGAGGGAACTCACGAACTCACCAGTGCCATTTTAGCGCTGAAAACCTGACTTGTCAATCGTCAACTGTTTACTTTTCCTTCGACTCAAGTAAAGCTGCTAGCTACACCTACTCTGCCGCGGTAACGAATTGATTTCGCGATTTATTTCAGATGAAAACCATTGTGTCCATCGAAAGGAACTTTTCGGGTGTACACTAAACAGCAAGATATAGTTTTTTGCATTTCACGGTCCTATTTCCCTGATCAGTTATTAGATCTGCTGAGGAGACAAATTCCATATTCATCAGGTAAGTATCCCGTTCTATACCAAAAGTGTGTCGACGTACTCTTTGACCTTGGATTTCAGTATGATGTGCAGGTCCAAACTCATTTATGTCCGGACAAATCAATGGTAAAAAAAATTCATAAACGATATCTTTCGCTGGTTCAAACCGCTGCCAACAAACAATGAGAGTCAGACATGATTGTGATATTTAGGGAATAGGGTTCTGTATTGGGATGGAACACCTTATAAAAAAATAATCGCAAGGTGACAAAGTCATCTGCTACGTTTAATTGTAACCACTGGTTACACGTTAATCGTTTGCTTGGGACCAATAGGCTAGTCAAGTAGTTAGCCAATTTAAAATCGTTAGTTTCGTATTGATTGTTGCTGGTACTATCAACGGGTCCGCACTCGTGTTTATTTCAGTTACCATGGGGACGTAATTTGTGATTAGCCCCGGTCCCTTTCAAATTGTATACATCATTATTTATGTACATATCATTATTTATGTATATATCATTATTTTTGTACAGCCTTAAACCATAGAGGTAACTCTAAGACAAGTACACTGTAACTGGAAAGCACCCATTAATGGGTGAAAAAGTGCCCATTTCGCGGTAAAGTAGGTAAACTCATAAAATGGGTAAAACGTCTTTACCCACTAATGGGTAAAGAGCTTATACGTCAAATCATGGGGTACTTTTTACCCATTTCCAGAACGCATTGTTTTCCGTAACTGGGTAAAAAGTACCCATTTTTTAAAATGTATTTATGGGACTCAAATTTGTGGAATGAAACAAATATGCTTTTAACAACATTATAAGCTAAGAAATCATTCAAATCATATAGTATTTCTTACCTTGAAGCTTTTTGAAGCTATCACCATTCTTTAAACTATTCATATATATCACTTTTTGTACTTTTCAAAACGAAACAAAGGCACTCGACAATGTAAACCAAGTATGTCAGCAACGTTATGGTGCAACAAAGACATTTTTCACCCAATTATGGGTAAATATGTACCCATTTTGGATCCCTGAACAGGTTTCGGAAATGGGTGAAAAATTACCCACTATTTGAAATTTTCAAATACGCATTTTTTGACAGGTCCATACACTACCACAAAATGGGTACTTTTTCACCCATTAATGGGTACTCGCCAGTTACAGTGTAGGTCCCGAAGAAACGTGCTCAACTTTTTGGCTCACCTCTGGTACTATCTTCGGTCCCAAGCTTGTCGAATCACCCCTCGAAACATAGGAAAAACCAATAACCCCTCATTTTATCTGTCAAACTTTCATAGCGAATCAAAACAAACATTGCGTAGTACTAGAATTTCGACTAGAATAGGGTACGTTAATCGTTTGCTTGGGACCAATAGGCTACTAAAGTGGTGAGCCAATTTAAAATCGTTAGTTTCGTATTGATTGTTGCTTAAACTTGAAATGACATTTTACATTCATCTAGTGATGGCCGATTTTCATTCGAATAATCGATTAATCGATTAACGAACCGAAAAGTAAAATATTTGTAATCGGTATATCATGCTGATCTAAGCATTAACTTCTCCAGAGGATCATCACCCATCGTTTCAAACAAGTGCTGCACTCTCATTGGTGGAAAAATGACAGCACAGCGAACAAAAAATAATCGATTAGATGTTAATCGAATAATTTAAAAATGGGACATCTCTGATTTTGGTGTAATTTTTTTGATTAAAAAAGAGCGCAAAATTTCATCTATACCAAAGGGGCAGCAAAACCACAAAATTACCTTGCATACGGGGGGTATTCATTGGACGAAATGAACCGTGAAAGAAGGACACTAAAATAGAAAATTTTTCTTCTGACTGTTTCATCTTAGTATTCTTCTTTGGTACTATCTTCGGTCCCAAGCTAATCGATTCACCCCTCGAAACATTGGAAAATCCACTAACCCCTCATTTTATCTGTCAAACTTTCATAGCGAATCAAAACAAACATAGTGTAGTACTGGAATTTATACTATAATGAGGTACGTTAGTCGATTTGCTTGGGACCAATAGGCTAGTCAAGTTGTGAGCCAATTTAAAATCATCAGTTTCGTATTGATTGTTGCTACTACTTAGTCTTAGCAACAATCAATACGAAACTAACGATTTTAAATTGGCTCACCACTTTAGTAGCCTATTGGTCCCAAGCAAACGATTAACGTACCCTATTCTAGTTGAAATTCTATTACTACACTATGTTTGTTTTGATTCGCTATGAAAGTTTGACAGATAACATCAGGGGTGTGTGGATTCATGCAGAACATGCAGGGGTGAGTGAAATAGCTTGGGACTGCTTGGGACCGTTGTTCTGGTACTGAGTGAGCCAAAAATAATAATGATTTTCTTCGGGACCCAGTGGTCTTAGAGTTACCTCTATGGTCTTAGGCTGTGTTCCATTTGGCGAATTTTCACTTAAACTTGACAGATGGAAAATTTCCAAATTAACCTGCTATTCCAGCAGACTTATATCTGACAGACAAGGAATCAATTTTGACACACACCTTCTCGAAAATTGGCCGATCAACAACAGAGGGATTTTCCGAGGGGGGCGACACATCTAAATCTCAAGTTTAGATGGTCAACAAATCTCACACTAGCGAATCAATCTTCGAACAATCTTCTTTCATTTGTCGCATCTACTTGCATCGCTCATCAATTTTTTGCAGGAAATCTTCAGAATCGTCATCAATCTTCTTTCTATCTACTCAGCATGCGCGCAGCTAGCCACAGCAAAACACAATCTTTTTTGCATCGTAGATAGAGTCGTCCCCCTCGGGATTTTCGAACATTATAATTTAGTTTCGAAGTGTCAAATTTAAGTGAAAATTCACCAAATGGACCACAGCCTTAGAGTTACCAAAAAGGTGAGCACGTTTCTTCGGGACCTTCTGGTCTTAGAGTTACCTCTATGGTGATACAGCTTTGTCAGTATGTAGGCGAGGAGCTCACGAGGGGGAAAAGTGTGGTTTTAGAGCAAATTGTTAACAAACTCGGTTGCCTTCCCATACAATAATCCAACGTGGCTGAATCACGAATTTGACACTTTAGAACACCTATATGTAGCCACCTTGAGTCCGATGACTGGCACTTTCGACGCACTGGATAAAAATGTTGGCGCAAAATAAGTGTGTAGAGAGACCCGAAAGAGTAAACTGAACTGAAATTTGGGTCCATCTCATTGCCCGTGTACACTAACTTTTCATTAGAACAAAAAATGCGCTAGTTGAATATTCTCGATTAAGTTTTGAATAGGTTTTATGTCCATTTGTCGATTACTTGTTAAAATATTCATTATGCCAACAATCTTTATGCTAAATGTGCCAGACCCGAGGCCAGACCCATCCCGTTAAGCTTGTGAACAATCTGGCAACGCTGGGCCACTGAGCCGTGCCACATGGGTTGCTACAAGTCGTGCGGGCATATTTTTTATTCTAGTACTACACTAGAAAGCTTTTTTTTTCTTTCGCTCGCTCGCGCTGCTCTGCACTGCAACATTAGAATGAAAAGAAAATAAAATACGGTGAAGCTGGCGGCAAACCGTCGGTAGTGCTAGCGTTTTATGTGTTAAAGCACTTAATTTAAGTGGGAAAACACTTGCTTTGATTTAGAAACACTAGTAGAAGATTAAATCATTTCGGAGAAGTGCTCAATAATTGGCCGGGAGTGATTTGGTAAAGGAAATATCTTTCGTTCCTGAAGTGGTCCTGCGGTTCGGCTCCTAACCTCAAAATAATACTACCGAGCAGCAGCAGCTAGCGAAAGAAGTGGCATCAAAACAAGCCCCCCTTTTTTTTTTTTTGTTATTAGTTGTTTGTATTTACTTTAGCCAAAAATCATGAGGAAACGTTCCATGTCGGTGTATGTTGCGAAAGACGACGATCGGTTGTCGAAGAAGTTCGAGGGTGGTAAGTTTGTTTTTAGTTTTTATTTTACGTGGATTGAGATTTTCTGGGTTCTGTTTTGCAGTGGCTTCGGACAATGATGCGCATTTCGACTCGGAAGACGAGACCAAAGATGATGAGGTCCTTTCGGGCGAGTGGACCAAAGCGGATTATGAATCGTTGGTGGCGCAGCTGAAGGAAACCCTCCCGAAGAAGGACCATCGCAAGTGGAAGACATCGCTACAGGCCGTGAACTGGGAGCAGATCAAGATTCGTCAACACACCCCGCAGGAGGTGGAAAAGGTCGCTAAGCAGCTGATTGGGAAGATCAGGTCGTTCCGAACATTTGGGGAAATTCTGGAAGAAGTGCCGGATGTGGTGACTAAGTTGTTGAGTGCCGAAAGACCGAAACCGCCACTGACGGCGTACAGTTTATTCGTGAAGGAAATGTTGCCCCAGCTGCGGGAGGAGCACAAGGACATGAAGGTGCAGCAGATCTTCAAAATCGTGCCAAAGCTTTTCCAAGAGCTATCGACTAAAAAGCGACGTCGGTACGAGGATGAATCCGCCCGCATGAAGGAGGAGTATCAGGCCAATCTGTCCAAGTTCTAGTAAGTATCGGATCGAACTGATTCACTGACTGAAATGGTATATCCGATTGGAAAACAGGATTATTACGACAGAAAGGCTAACTAATATCGTCGAAAGACAACAACTGAAGAAAAACATGCTTAAGGTTCAATTCACTTTGATGCATTTTTGAAAAATTCAAATGCAGTTTTTTTTTCGACGCATTTCAGATTGCAAAAAGCTCGCGTCATTTTGCAGGGTGTCGACTACCTGGAAAAACCTGGAAAGTCAGGGAATTCTATTTATGATCTGGAAAGTCAGGGAATGTCAGGGAATTTTAGTGTAGGTCAGGGAATAAAATAATGTTGATCACATTGCTAAAAATTATGTGTGGGACACATAAAACAATCTTTGAAATTTTATCAGCGCATGACGTCAACGTTTTTGGGAAGATCCCGGGCATCAGATCTACTCGCTGCGTTTATGGACGCCCTGGCCGGTATCTCTTCGAACAAGTTGCTGCAAGTGTCCATGGATGGGCCCAATGTGAATTGAAGCAAGAGGTACAAAAAGGTGGCGAGAAGCGGATAGATCTGGGAAGCTGTGGGCTGTATATTTTGCATAATGCATTCAAGGATAGTGTTTGCAGTATCAGTTGGGATGTTTTCAAATATTTGCGTGGTATCCAGAATATCTTCAAATATGTACCTTATCGCATGGCAACGCCAATGCAGAGAGAGGTTTTTAGGTAATAATGCAGAATATCTTTTTGAAAAAAAAATAGCATCAGCATCAGTCCAGCATCAAAATGAAAGCATATTGAAATCCAGTTTTGATATCAACATCAAACTGAAATCCTAATTTAATTTCAGTTTATGCAATTGATAAATTTTGTTTTCATTTTGCTGTACAAAAATATGTTGTTGCGGGTTTGACTTCATTGCCTTAAGCGCTGTCCAGACTGGAGAGTTATAACATGTTATAACGGTTGTCAAATAATTGCAACACAGAAACCACCATCAAGAAAGCGCTATAACATGTTATAACTCTGTAGTCTGAACGTACTATTAGCATAACATCAAATTGAATACTTGTTTTGTTATCAACATGAAAAATTGATATCAAATTGAGTATTCAGTTTGCTCTCACTGATAGCAGAAATAGTTTTCAATGTGATGTCACAGGAAGATATGTTTGCTATCAATTTTGATATTTTAACCGTTAAAACGACCAAAACGACAGCAACCTGAGTTATCATTATCAGCGAAATCACAACATCAAATTTAGATTGCAATTTGATCTCAGACTTTGCTCGGGCTGTGTGTCCATGATCGAGGGAAAAAAGTTAAATAATACCACTGAACTGTCCAAAAGTTCATCTAATTGAGGTTAACCACTAACGGTGCAAATCCTGATTGGCGGACAAAAGTTGGCGCTACTTAGTGGCGTAAGATAGAAATTTTGACATGACGGTGATGGAATTCTTTCACGGTGAGGTATGGGAGAATAGTTTGAAATCATATAAACAAGATCGACATAACTTCAGAAAGTACTGAATCACTTGAGAATAGTTCGGAATCACTTAAAAAATTACTGAATCACTTAAGGAAATAATTGAATCACTTCATAAAAATACGGAATCTCTTCAGAAAGTACTGAATCATTTCAGAGCGCACTGCATAACTAATGAACAGTTCGAAATCACTTCAGAAAGTACTGAATCATTTCAGAAAAGTTTGGACTTACTTCGGAAGTGCTAAATCATTTCAGAAATGTTTTCAATCAATTCGGAAACTACTGAATCATTTAGGAATGTATTGTATCACTTTAGAAATGTTCGAAATCACTTCTGAACGTACTGTATCGATTTAGAACAGTGTGGAATCACTTCAGAAAGTCTTGAATCACTTCAGAAAGTCTTGAATCACTTCATAAATGTTGAGAATCATTTCACAAAGTACTGAATAACTTCAGAAAAGACCCAAAACACTTAATAAATATTCGAAATCACTTTGGAAAGCACTGAATCATTGCGAAAAGTTCACTTTGAAAATAATTGAATCACTTGAGAAATGTTCGGAATCACTTCGGAAAACACCGAATATCTTCAGTAATGTTCGGAATCACTTTGGAAAAGTTCATGATCACTTCGGAAAGTACTGAATTATTTCAGAAAGCACTGAATCACTTCGGAAAGTGTTGAACCACTTTAAGCTCGGAATCTCTTGGGATAGTACTGAATCACTTCAGAAAATTTCGGATTCACATTGGAAAGTACTGAATCATCCCAGAAAGTTTGTAATCATTTCCGCAAGAACCGAATAACTTCGAAAATGATTAAATTAGCTAGGAATGCACAGAATCATTTCAGAAACGTTCAGCCTCACGTCGGAAATACTGAATCGCTTCAGAATGTTCATAATCACTTCGCAAAGCACTAAATGATTTCAGAAAGTACTGAATCACTTCAGAACTGTTTGGAATCGCTCCGAAAAGTACAGAATAATTCCAGATAGTTTGTAATCACTTCCGAAAGTACTGAATCGCTTCAGGAAGAACTGAATCACTTTTGAACAGTTTGAAATCAATTCTGAAAGTACCCAAGTAACAATTTGGGTTTTATGAGGGTACTGTAGACCATGATTTAGACTTGTAGAGTGCTTTAAAACCTCAATAAAACTTACAATGTTACTTGGATAATTAATCACTTCAGAAAAAACTTTGAAATTCTTCGGATAGTATTGAGTGACTGAAGAAAATTTCTGAATCCCTTTGGATAATACTTAATCTTTCCAGAAAGTTTGTAATCGCTTTCGTAAAAACTAAAAAAAAATCCGGAAAGAACTGAACATCTTCACAAAACTTCGGAAAGTACTTTATCAATTCTCTCAAGTTTGCAATCACTTCTTCAAGAGCAGAGATCATTTTGTAATAACTTCAGAAAAGTTTGGAATCCCTTCAGAACATATTTAGTCACTTCAGAAAAATCGGAATAACTTTGGGCATCACAGAATCATTAAAAAAAGTTCAAAATCTCTTCTGAAAGTACTGAAAAGCGATAGAAAATCTCGGAATCAGTTTGAAAAGTGCTGAATTACTGCAGAAAAACTTCAGAAAGTACTGAATAACTTCAAATAGTACAGACATAATTGAGCATGAGAATGATTAACCGCTCGCGGTTCTCAGAGGCGAACCAGCATTTAGGCTGAAAACCTCTTAAATAAAGAAAAAAAAAATTAGCTCGCGGTTGCTACTCCGTTATTGCCAGATCACCTGTCAGAGAAGCAAAAAACGATGCGTTGGACGAGCATGCATCTGCAATGTGTAAAAACTGCTGATCTCATACTTTACGATAGGCAATAACAGTGCCAGCCGCTTCATAATGTAGGTCAATTAGACCGTCAAAAACCGAGAGATCCTCCTCACTTCCAGGAATTTTTCAACAGTTTCTCAGCAGGATTTACTTCAGGGAGTATTGATTATTATCGCTAAGCTACTCAATTGTGACATATCGAAAAAGATCTCGACTTTGGCAACATAGATGAAGAACAGCCAACTCTCCACAACTTGATGTCCAGTTACTCGATATCCAGTTATATAACCATCATATAAATGAGTGTCATGGCTACTGAGATAGCGAATTTGTATGAGATTGTTATTCTATAACTCCATAATTCTATAGGTACCTCGAGTCGTAGAGAGTGCACTGTAGTTACGTTTCCAAAAACGAGATCTGTCTATACTGACATTACATTCCATTAGGAAAGTTTAGAATCACTTTGAAAATTTAAGAATCCCTTCAGAAAGTACTGAATAACTTGAAAAAAGATTAAGATCACTTTGGCAAGTACTGGACCATGTCAGAAAAAAAAGCAGCCAACAGAATAACTTCAAACAGTACTGAACTTTACAAAAGTTTTGAATCACTTCGGAAACATTGGAAGCACTGGATTCATGTATTCAGCTCATAGCATATTTAATAACTTCAGAAAAGCTTGAGTTCAGTAGGGAAAATGTTGAATCGCTTAAAGATAGACTCACTTCCGAAAATGTTAAATTTTCTGGACTGATTTAATACTTTCGGCAGTAATGTCACGAGTTCTTGGGAACGTTTAAAGCAAGAACCTGTTATAAACGTGAAAACGTGGCACTGAAACAGTAAATGTATTGCCTAATAAGGTTTCCAAAGGTAACATCAGTTGTAACAACACAATCTCTGGTTCTTATTTCAAAGATTTGCGTAGCGAGGATTGATGGCCATGATTTGTAAAACGCCAGAGGTGTTCTGAGTAAAACGCATAAAACGAATCCATATTTATGTATCTTTATTTTTTGTTTTTTTGATTTTAACTATCATCATATCCATAATCTTCCCCTTAATTGGCCTAGTACTTGTAACTTAAGAAGGGGGACCGAGTGCCTCAAGTTCGTTGCGCCTTTGCGCAGTTAGTGCAGTAAGGGCTTCTTACTGCGGAGGTTTTGATTTGATAACATACTGATAGTTTTGGAAATTTTGCTTTGCCCACGAATGTTTAGGAAAATTCTAGAAATTGTTCAAGGTTTTTCCTGAAATTAGGAGAAAGTCAAGCAAGATAAATATGAGATAAATTAGAAAACACAAATGATAGTACTGGGAAAATGTTGATGGAACTTTCATAATCGAACTAATCATAATTTCAAGAAGAAAGGGTAAAGGGACTTAACCACCTGTAGAGTACGGTGCTGCTCGATAAAGTGCAAATGTTTTGCAACGTACTATATAAACTAGATAAAACACTATGTGAAACAACGCCATCAACGTCGCGGGCGAATGCATCGTTATTTTAGGCAGATTTATATTTTAAGGGCGCCGGTCAATATTCGGTGCGACTACTTAGCTCAAATTTTAGGAACACAGCACTGGGTATAATAAAGCTCATCACGTTGTAGCTTCTTAGGTTAAAATAACGTAGTTTTGTGGACTGGAATTTTTCTGAAAACCGACTGGAAAGTCAGGGAAAGTCAGGGAATTTTGTTTTCGACTTTGAGTCGACACCCTGTTTTGTGTAAGATAGCACAAAAATAGCATATCTATTAGGCCACTATCAGTGTGTCGTATAAGGCAAGAATGATTGTTCGAGTATTAGACAATTTATTCTCGTAACGGCCAGAGGCTTTTACATTGATAAATATCAGTAGCAATTTGACTAACTTGATTTTTTTTAGGCATGACCTAAACTTTCTCAATTTATGCTTATCGCATAAGTTTTTCCAATGTTTGCCTACTCGACATTAGTAGAGGCCTCTGAAATTTTCCATAATTTCATGTTCAGGCTCACGAAAAAGCTTACAGCACGTTACAACTCTAGTCAGGTGGCCAGCAAACCGGGAATTCGACATGAGAACTGAAAAAATCATTAAACCCTAACACGTCAGAGCTAAACTAAACTGGGACGCTTTAGTATCGAGGATCTCGCAACTCATATGGTTGCATAACATGCGCTCCCTTTCCCTGCAGCAGAAAGTGCTACTGCTGAACATCTTCATTACAGCGAAGGTGTGGTACCTCTCGTCTGTTATTCCACCGCAATGTGCTCACACGGCGAAGCTGACATCAACGATGGGGACTTTCCTTTTTCGTGGGCTACCCGCACGAGTCCCAATGCAGCAGTTGGCGCGCAGCAGAGAGCAGGGTGGATTGAAACTGCAACTGCCGGCGATCAAATGCAAAGCACTTCTAGTCAATCGTCACCTGCAGGAGATCGTTTCCCTTCCCTATTATCAGTCCCTTCTCACCCAAAATATTCCTCCCCCCGCCGATCTTCCTTGCCTAAAACTTCTCTCACAGCAAATTCCCTTATTTCCACACCACATCCAACAAAACCCCTCCAGCGATCAAATCCATCGTTTCTACTTGGAACAAACTGAGCTACCCAGAGTGGAACGAAACCATCCAGGCATCAATTGGAAAAAGATCTGGATGAACATATCATCGAGAAGGCTATCGTCGAGCCAGCGCACTGATCTCTACCTGCTAGTAAACGAGAAGACGGAGCACCGTAGACTGATGAACGTCATTGGCCGTGCAAACGACCCAAACTGTCAGCACTGTGCGGTAGGAATCGAGACTTTGCAACATAAGTTTTGCGAATGCCCTCGAGTTGCTGCAGCTTGGGCACACATCCAGCGAAAATTGACGACGACGCTCGGCGGCTGGCAGAGGCTGAGCTTCGACGATCTTGTACGGCCAATCTTGGGTAACATGACAACAGCGAGAAGAAATCAAATTTTAAAAACGTTCATTAAGTACATCAACTTTGTCAATGTGAATATTAATAATAGAATAGATGTGGGCGAGCTAGATTTCATTTTGACTCTAGAAGATTGATATATTTTTTAAATATCTTGAATATGTTATTTAAGACCTAAATAAACAATATTTTACAAAAAAAAAAAAAAAAAAAAAAAAAAAAAAAAAAAAAAAAAAAAAAAAAAAAAAAAAAAAGCTTCAGAATCAACTAGTGAAACAGCGAGTTTTTACCAAAAGAAAGACTTTGCTCTTTTTGCTACATATTCATCAGTTATCTAACTGTTTTTGACGTCATGTGCATGAATATTATCCATGATGCCGGACATTAAGGTTAAGGTGACGTCACTGTTAGAAGGTTTTCAAAATAATGGTCCTTAGGGCCAACCACAATCAAGTTTGATCGGCGACTTTATCAACGTCGTGACTAGAAACGAATCTAGAATGCTCACGTTAATAACTCTTCCTTGCTTCCTATCCCACTCTCTAACCCAAGCAATCAAAACCACACTATTAATATGCCTCTACCCTTCCTCTTTTTCCAGTCAAGACCACCCGGATCTGACACCGAGGAAGATTCGCAAGGAACCGCTGAAAACGCCTTTCCAACTGTTCTACCGGTCACGGCGCGCCACTTCCGACAACATTTCGTGCCAGCAAGTCCGCAAAGAGTGGGAAGCACTCCCGCTGAAGAAGAAGGTCAAGTTCATTCGGGCGTCGTTCGAAGCCCAGGCCGACACAGACAGCAAGTTGCTTAACAAAAAGGAGCTGATCATGCTCGACCAATCCCTCGGCAAGCCGGAGTTCGTGGGACGTAATGTGTACGAGTTCTTCCGCCGGAAGATGCGCTCCCAGTACGCAGCAGCTAATGGGAACGAACGGGAGCATAAGATTCGAATGGATTACAAAAAGCTGGACGCCCAGGAGCAATCGCAGCTGAAGGAAGAGTTCCAAAAAGCTCGGACCGCATTTGTCTTCCAGTATCAGGAGTACATTAAGAAGCTCCCAAAGGACAAACAGCAGGCGGAAATTGATTTCCTAAAGACGATCTCTGACAAGACTACCAAGAAGCAGAAGACTGAGAAGAAGACACCGCAGAAGGCCGCTTTGAAAGAATTGCATTCCGCCGGTTCAGCGGACGAGGATACTCCGGTTGCGGAATCCACGACGATCAACAAGAAATTGACAACCGGCAAGAAATCCAAGACGGAGCCCAAATTTGATGATTCCGCCGAGGAATCCGAATTATCTGACCATCGAACGCCACTGAAGAAACAGCCAAAGATTTCCATCGCAACTGCTCCGCCGCCGCCTTCCACCAGCAAGGCGCCAGGACTGCTGAGCGTTAGCAAGTCGGAACCTCCCGCCTCGTCGGCCTCTTCTTCGGATGAAGAAGAAGATGGTGATAAAGACGAAGAAGAATACGTACCTACTAAGCATCAGGTTAGTATGAGCCGGAAAAGCGTTCCGGCTTCACCAAGTAAGAATGGAAGCGCCCGGAAAGTATCCGACACGAAGAAGCGACCGTCACCCGAAGACGTTAAGCCCGAGGTAGAGGTGAAGAAACCGAAGAAAACATCGGCAAAGGTGGTGAAACCTATAAAGCAGGAAGAGGAACCGGAAGCGCTGCCCCCGCCGGCCATCAAGGGCACCAAAGCGGCAAAGACGAAGGAGATCCCCGCGAAGACACTGAAGGAACCGGAGAAGCCACCCAAGTGAGTACTTCTGAAAATACATATAGGATCTAATCGAAGACATCAAATCAAGAAGACTGGCAACTCTGCCAGAATACGGCATAGAAAAATGAGCAAATACACAAACCTTTCTTCTGAGGTTGTGATCTTTGCTATCAAATTCGTTCGAAGCATTTACGTTTGCGCGGTAGATGACGCGATTGTGTCGGTCTCATAGCGGTCGTACGAGAAAATGGAAGGGTTGCCAGTCTTCTTGATATGTTGTCTTCGATCTAATGCATGCTAGCTCGTCGACTTGCTACGCACTACTAACACAAACGTTATCTTTATTTGTTTTGTAGAAAGCGGGTTCACAGCCTTCACGTACCACAGAAATTACGCTATGTGACTCCTCACAGTTTGTAGTTAATAATTGTTTTTTTTTTTATTATTGTTTGAGTTGGATTCGGTTATTTAATTGTTTAGGTCAGCACAGAGATGTCAACCACCAAGAAGGTTTCATTTGTTGACTATCGCAATTCATTGTTATCTAATAATATTAAACGCTGACTACTGCTATAACTGTTGCTGCTTTTCACTTTTGAAACGAATTCGAGGGATTCCAAGATGCTTGCAGTGTTAATGAAAATGAGTGAGTTTTCACTGATTTTCAATTGGTTTTCTACCGGCATGTTGAATAGGGTTAATAGTTGGACCAAGCATTGGATAAAAATTGCAACAGGATAAAGACTGTTGTGGTTCTAGAATTTGATAAAAAGAATGTCGGTGGGATTTTTCTGAGGCATAGAAATCTCTGGTCACGTCTTCCTTCGGAAGGGAAGTAAAGCCGTTGGTCCCGGCCGATGTGTGTTGAATGGGTGCGATATCCTACGCAGGTGTGGAAACTGCCTTCCTGCACATGCGATTGTCGTCAATGGATGGCAATCGATGTCCGTCGGTGATTGGCACTAAATTGCCGAACAGAGACCGACGTTAAATAAAGGAAAGAAGAAGTAGAGAAAGAGGTTCTTCAAATTATGGTACTGTGAGAATTCGTTTTCACAGAATTGATTGAATGGTTGTATTGGTTAATCTTCAATCGAATGATATGAAAATTAACAGCACTGGTTCCCTCATTTCACATCCGTTGAACCATTCTGAACGGCCATCGCGTAGTGGTAATATCACATCATTGCTAATAATGTATATATCTATATTTTTTCCGGTACCATGGAGTCAACAAATGCGAATCGCGGCATGACAGCGATACACCGAAAAAAGTTTTCATATAGTTTCCATTGGGAACGCACATGATATTTTTCCATTAACAAAATTAATGATTTTTATCTGAAATTCACATAACATTCATATGATCACATGAATTTTATGTGATAAATCACATAAATTTCATTGGACACATAAGCTTTATGTGATTTTGTAGTGCGATTCCCAATTATGAGATCACATGAAAGTTATGTGAAATTCTAATGGATATTTTCCATTGGAAATGTGATTTATTTTTTGAGTGTACGACAATGGAATGATGCTCGTTAAGAAAATACCCGGAGATGCGCAATGTAAATTTTCCGGTGGTGTTACGGTTTTTCTAAGACGCAGCTAGGAACTCAAGATCATCATACTAATCATGGACGTCGATATATAGTGGATCACATCAGAAATGACATGGGAGACTTTCAGGATTTAGCAGTGATGCAGAATAGGACAACGAGCTCACAAATAGACACGAAAATTGGACAGAAGAGTGAAGAAACAGCGAAAGTTGGTGAGATGGTATTAAATTATTGCTCATTAGAGTGATGCAAAATTTGAAATTTTCGCTCCACAATACTTAAACGATTCCAAACCGGATCCTGACTAACCTCTCAAAATTTGAACCCATTTGGTGAGAAACTGAGATGGCACAAACCATTTGAAGTTTGTATGGGAATTACTATGGCAAAACCAAGATTTTTGTTCATGTCTACCTAATAATTCACCATATCGGTCTGCTTCAAAAACTTTCAACTGTGCTTGTAGGAAATTCTCCCAGCTACAACTTTGCTGAAGACCACTTTTTGATTAAATGCAAGGATCGAACGTTATCAATGGTTCAATGCGCTGATGTCTTATGATCATGCTCAATCAACTGCTCAGCAGGCAACATTGGTGTTTCTCGGGCGTTGAATAGGACACAAAAATCAAGGCTACTATGTCACACTGCAAAATACAGTGTTGCCTACAGAGCAGCTGCTTGATCATGTCATAAGTTTACCAATCTCTTAAATAATTAATAACTTTTTCCTGTCTCGTTTTACATAGAAACGATCTTCAGCAAAGTTGTAGCTGAGAAAATTTTCTATAAGAATGGCTATCGAACTGTTTCGCAGCTCAATATGGAAAAAGACTAAATGGCAATGAACAAAAAGTTGAGAATTCCCATAGTAATTTACATGTAAACTTCAAATGGCTTGTGCGAAGTCTGTTTCTAACCAAATGAGTTGTAACTTTGGGAGGCTAATCAGGACCCGATTTGAAACCATTTAAGCACTGTGGAGCGAAAAAGTCAAATTTTGCATCAGTGTATTGCTCATATTTATACAAACATTGCCAACGGAGTTGAGATCGTTGGCTTTGTGGACGACATCGTCTTGATGGTAAACAGGCGAGACGCTGGAAGAGGTGGAAGTGTTAGCGACTGAGGCGATCGACATGGATGGAAGGAGCCAAGCTGCAGATAGCCCACCACAAAACGGAAGTCAGTAACTGTAAAGCGGTACAGCGGGCAGAAATCACCGTCGGGGAGCACGCCATAGCCTCGAAGCGTGTGTTAAAATACCTGGGAGTGATGATCGATGACCGGCTAAACTTCAACAGGCTTCGAAGTCCATCAACGCGATAGCTAGAATCATGCAGAACCACGCTGGTCCCAGCAGCAGCATGAGGCGTCTTCTGGCCATTGTGTCGCCGTCGATAATGAGGTATGGAGGTCCAGCCTGGGTTCCAGCGCTGGAAACGAAGCAGAACCAAAGTAAACTGAGTAGTACGTTCCGGCTCATGGCCATGCGAGTCGTGAGTGCGTACAGAACCATCTCGTTGGAAGCAGTATGCGTTATCTCCGGTATGATCCCTATCGGGATCACCCTAGCGGAGGACAGCGAGTGCTACAGGCGGAGAGAAGCCGGAAGAGTACGGAAAGTTGTGAGACCGGAATCGTTGGCTAAGTGGCAACAGGAGTGGAACACATCGACTAATACCGATTCTTTCGACCTGGGTGAACAGAAAACACGGAGAAGTCAACTTCCACCTAAGGCAGTTACTGTCTGGCCACGGCTGCTTCAGGAAATACCTGCATTGGTTCGGACACGCAGCGTCACCCCTCTGTCCGCAGTCCGCAGTGTGGCAACGAAGATGAAACGCCGGAGCATGTGGTCTTCGACTGTCCAAGGTTCGAGACAGTGCGAAGTAGACCTCTGCACCGCCGATGAAATTGAACCGGCGCGCCACCGCAGTAAAATCGTTCACGCCGCCGAATAAATTTATGTCACGCCCATGAAAAATCCGCAACACCTTTTCGGTAAAATGCATCTTGAACGCGTTGAAATTAGAACTTAAAAAATAGAACATTTTCGAATGATTTCTTTCGGAATTTTCTTCTACGACGGAAAGGCAAACTTCGTATTTTTACATTCTCACAATCAGGGCTGAAAAAACTCATTACAGCTAAAATGCTATTTTTAGAAATTATGAAACTGAGATATTGTAATAATAATTTTTATATGTAAGATACAAGAAGATGAGGTAAAGTTTGTGTATGACATATAAAACCTGTCAATTTCACTCCCACAGTGTCGCTATTATGGGGGCCTCCTTTAGCTCAGTCGGTAAAGGCGCAGAAAATGTCTCGACTTCCCTGGGCATAGAGTATGATTGTACTTGCCACACTGAGGAAGTGCATTTAGAACACTAAGTTGAGAGCACGCAATAAGCTAATATGCGATATGCAATAAGCTTGAAATGCGAAGAAGAAGAAGAAGAAGAAGAAGAAGTGTCGCTATTAGCTATTAGTTATGACGAAGGGTACTCACTCATTAAAATATCTCATTATAGCTAAAATAGCTAATTGTGACCCTCTGAATGCAAAATTGACAGGTTTTATGTGTCCTATAATATTATTATCTCATAGATTCATTTATCTGTAATGAGATTTTTCAGCCTGCTCACAATTCCATTTTAAGTGTGCACTCGGCTGTCGACAAAAGCAGGCCTCTCTCGATGTGTGCCACGCGATCGTCTGTTTTCTCGGCAGCAACTATTGTGTGGTCATTGTTCTTCATCAGCAGTTCTTTCGGTCGATGCGTCGTCGACTTTGGAAAGCAACCGTTTAGTGATGAGTGTGTGAGTGCTGACCACGTTTTGCGTCCATTGCTGCAATGGAAGCGCTCTGACCCTCGTTGTCGTAACTGCCATATAATGAAACCACTGGAAGTGGCTCCAGTTCTGATGGAGGAGGCTTTTTGGATAGCGCAAGATAAAGTGTTTATTGTGTTGTACCATTTGACTATAGATTTAAGATGCATAGTGAACAAGAATCCTCGGCTCTGTAACGTTAATTCGGTTGAGCCTTATCAAATAAATTAATAATCAAAACAAAAATTATCGATTAATTTACTATGATTTTTCAAAAATATTTAGAAGGAAATTGAACTTCTTAACTTCAACTGCCATTTTCTCAATGCTTACTTTTTCCACTTGGGACTGATGTGGGATTATAGGCAGTGAAGGTATGTGCAAGTTCCCTAAATTAAAGCATCCAGTACTAGCAAGCTTGTCAGCCGTGCAAGACAAAACCCTCTCGTCAAAGCGAACCATATTTCGCCTTTTCTGTATCCTCCAACCCCCTTGTTCTTGCAGGGACATCGAGGAGTTCTACCGGCAGCGGTTCTACAAGGGTAAGCCCGGCAAGCACGTGGAATCGTTCGCAAACCTAACGGTTGCGAAGAAGCGCGAAATTAGCGAACAGCTGAAGGTCGCCCAGAAGCAGTACATCGTCGATTTCGAGCATTACCTGAAATCGCTGCCCAAGGACGAGATCCGAAAGTACATTCAGAAAGTGAACGCCAAAAAGCAGGCTCAATCGACAGATGACGATTCCGATGCTGACGACGATTCAGAGGCAGGAAGCAGTTCGGAGGAAGAGGAAGACGATGAATAAGATTTGCTAGTGTGCCAGGCTAAAATGAGTGCCAGTGTTTTTTTTTAGATTAATTGTAAATTGCGCCAGTGAGATTGAAAATTGGTTTTTTCTTCTTTCTACTTACTGATGATACTTTTAAGTTTAAGCTCAGTTTCGTATAATTGACTATGAATAATTTGTTTACCTACTGTCCGAGTACAGCTCTTACGATAGAATAAATAAGGGAAATCAAAATGTGTTACCTACGGTGAAAGTTATTGCTGAAGAAATGTCCATATTTAAGATGAATTTAAGAATGTCTTAAATTTGCCATCCAGGTCATCCTAGCCATCCAACAGCTCACCATCAGTGCCAACCCAGCCGAGCTAGGGTTAGTATCATAATGACTCATTTCCATTGTTTAATATCGTTTGATAATTTTACTTTTCCTAGTACAGTACCCCCCGCGCTTACACAGATGCAGTAGACCTTCCTCCCGCAGGGAAGCGTCTGATTCGAAACGGTGTACAGTATGTTGATTACGTTGCCATCGTAGTGACTCACTTCCCCCCAGGTACTTCCCATCCGAATAGATCGACCACCGTGGTCCACATGGAACCGGAAGCTTTCCAACGGCCGAACGTCGTTTCTGTTGATCTGGCGTTGACGTGACCATTGTCTTCGACATCTCGTACGGTTTGAAATATTAAAACAAAACATTTGAACTGTTAAAATGCCGGGTTGCCAAACATACAATTAAACTGAAAAAAAGCTGTTCGATTGGAACAACTTTTGACAGACGTCCATACTTTTACTGTAGGGCTTTAAGTCCGATGACTCTCGGCACAGTGCGGCACACTGAGAACAATGTTGGCGCAAAATAAGTGTGTAGAGTGACCACCCCTTGCCATAACCACACACAGAAAAAACTATTGTCGTAACAAAAATATTTGAGGTAAATTTAAATGTAAACTCAGTTTGTTCTGGCCACAAACATAAATTTGGTTGATTTCAAAAGGTTTCCATGTTTGAAGTCATGTGAAATCAATGTTTAAAATAAAAATAATGTTACGTTTATTTCAAAAATATTCGTGTTGAAAATAAACGTATTTATTTTTGTTTGGTTTGATATCTATGCGAACAATAATAAATATGTTTATTTTAAACATGCTTCTCATGTTTAAAATAAACATACATATTTTGGAATTATTTGAGTAGTTGAGTGCAGGGTAAAGCAAAATAAAACGGAAAGAAATGAAAAAAAAGATCTTCGGGCAGGGCATCCTAATTCCTGCTCTTTTCGGGTGCGATTAAGGGTGACCTGTGGGTATTGGGGTTCTGGTTCGGGATGCGAGGACCCGTCGGGGTGGGTGTCCGGGGGTTCCAGTTCAGAGGAACCGGTGCAAATTTGTGTTATTAGCGTCGTTTTGCCGTTTCTGCCACTGGTCCTCATACCGGTTTCTTTCCGTGTTCGATATCGGAGGAGGATCCGGAATGGATTCGGAATGGATGACCGTTTTCTGTTGAGTTTGAGCAAAGCTGGGGCAACTTTTTCCGAATGTAACAAGAAGGAAATAAAAAGGCATGACACGCTAAAAACCGTTTACCCAAATCCTATATTGTTGAAATAAACATGTTTTTGAATTTAATTCAAACATATATATTTTAGTTTTAAACATGCTTTCAATTTACTTTGTATAATTCATATGTTTAGAGTATAGACATTTATATTTTGTTTTAAATGAACAAAATTCGTATCCGTGCATAACAAACAATTATGCAAAGTTTCATACAACTCGGAGAAAGTCGATTATCAAATTTCGCTATTTTGCATGGAACTGCTCTATTGTATAAAGTTTGAGATCACCAGATTTTTACACATTGAGGATCTGGCAATAACGGAATCAGGAATCCTTATTGCCGGATTCCTTATTGCCGGTATCCCTTATTGCCGGATCCTTATTGCCGGGCTATCCGCGAATAAGGATACCCACAGCTTATGGGATTTTCACTAATAGGGGCTGTGGCGAGGGGCACGCAGAACCTATACTTGGATGCGTTGTACTCAAATCGTTAGCAGGTTCATGGTTGTAATTATGGACTTAAAAATGTACTTAACGTACTCAAAATAAGTACAGAAGTATTTACCTGTACTTTAAATGCGTTAATGTAATTAAAGCTGTACTTTAATTACTTCAAGGTATTTGTACTGGACTTAAGTACTCAAGTGTATTTAAGGTGTACTTAAAGTACTTCTGATTATAACTATTGTAATTAAAGTAATTAAAATGTAATTACGAATATGGTTATTGTGAATAGCAGTAGGATTAAATGGCAAGCAAAATAATAGCAAAAGATAAGCGACAAATAAAAGTAAATTTAAAAATCTTTTACCATGGAATCAAAATGGTCTGTATAGAAGAGGCGATGGAAGTGGGTAGGACGGGTTTAAGACATAAAACCCACATATTTAAGATTTGATGTGCCTTTGGTGTTTAGTTTGTGCATACAGTTATTCTTAGGCTGATGCACATATAAGCTTCAACATAAAATTGCGTCTAATTGATTTTCAAACAATGACTTAAGACACGGATTTTTAGTTTCCAAGCAGGATAAAAAAAAAGTATTTCAACAGAATAGCCAGAAACATTACGACTATAATCAAGCATATCCTCGTTAACGTCCATGGAGTATTTTCCATAAAAAAAAGTTTTGCATAGATAAAAAATGTTTTGAACGTAAACGAGAACTTGGGTAAATATAAGAAAAATGTGTTTCTATGTTGCAAACAGGAACAGAAGTGTTTTGAAGAGCAATATTGGCGATAGGACTTCGAATATTCTTATGTTGATGGTTTTTTTTTTTATGTTTTCCATATTGCTTTTTCGAAAATTTCTATAACTATTCTTACGGTAAATTTTCTAAGCTACAACTTTGCGGAAAATCGTTTTTCAGCTTAATGTAAAATTAAATAGCTATTGATTGTTTAAGAGATTGATAATCTTATGGCATGATCAAGCAGCTGTTCTGTGGGCAACACTGTACTCTGTAGTGTGACATAGTGGCCTTGATATTGGTGCTTCTTCGCACCAGAAATACCAATATTGCCTGCTGAACGCTTGAAGGAGCATAATCATAAGACATCAGTGACTTGAATCATTAATAACTTTTGTTCCTTACATTTGATTGAAAAGTGGTTTTCAACAAAGTTGTAGCTGAGAAAATTTGCTACAACCATGGCTATCATTTTTAAAATGATAGTGATATGGTGAATTGTTATATAGATATGAACAAAAACATAAGTTTTCGCATATAAATTCCCATATAAACTTGAAATGGTTTGTGCCAAGTCAGTTTCTTACTAAAGTAGTTCAAATTTTGGGAGGCTAAGCAGGACCCAATTTGGAACCGTTTAAGCACTGTGGAGCGAAAATTTCAAATTTTGTATCAGTCTAATGCACACTACACAGCAAAAAAATAATTTTGATATCACATCAAAGTGGATGCACTACAATCATGTCGAAAATTTCATGTAATTTTTATGACCACATAAATAAACAAATGCAGTTAAAGCAGCGTAATGTCAGTTCATGCATTGTATTAATGATAATTTTGTCCTTTTTAGCAAGTAATATTACACCATATTTTCGACATGATTGTAGTGCATCCACATTGACGTGATATCAAAATTATTTTTTTGCTGTGTACATTTAAATTAACCCACCTGTGCTGATTTTAGCCAAGAAAAACCACGAAAACAAAGTAGATTTAACTTAAATTTTAAAAGCCGACATCTTACGCAAAACAATAAAAATGCGTGACGTCTGATATTTTCGAAGATCAGTCAACTGAAAAAAACGTTTTCTCAACAATATTTAGGCAAAAGTAATAATAATAAATGACTGTTAAGAATTTTAACGTGTAAGCATGTATAGAGATTTTCACGTCCGGTTGTGTTGGTGCGATATGTGAGAGCGTGTTAGTGAATATCCGAGGAAAATACATAACAAATCGATGTCAAACTCATTTTGACAGATCTACTTTCATACATTTTTTGGATTAGCCAGAGGAAAATAATAAACAACTTTACACGGCGTTACTTCCGCTAGTGTGCGTGTGTCAAACGTCACTAATCTCTATATACATTTATATACCTATTGCAATTGATCCAAAATATAGCCCATTTTTACAATACTGAGCGGTACATGGGGCATGAGTGGAAACTGGTTCATTGATGGTACTTTCTTTAATGATAACCAAATTTTATTGTATTTATTGTTTATTCATATTCAATGAGTATCAGCAATGGGAAGACGAAGCTGGCTTAACATGTTGCATGCATGTCCCTTAGCATGACCATCACGCGTGGAAATCTCATCCTTACTTTTATTTTTCAGCAACTGAAATTAAAAAAAAAAATACATATTTATAGTTCTCAGTGGTTACGATTATTATTTTGGGCTACCCACAAAAACTGCATAATGTCGTCTGGAACTGCCTCAACGTGTTCTTTCAGCGTTATAAAACGCTTTTTGCTGCAATACGTCGTCTTCCCGATCCTGTAAGCACAGGCAAAGTTAAACCAAGAATATAATTTGAAATTAATTTTTCTTACCATAATCACCAAGCTTAAAGAGAAATCTACGAAGGAATATATTTTTCCGGACCGATCACCACTTATTTTTATGATTTGACCACCAACAAAGCGAACGTGTGCGCGACGATAGCAGATCGAAATGAAGAAAAACCTCGAGAAAAACGTTAACATCATTTGACAGATTGTTTGCATTGAGAGAAGGGGGCATCTGTAAACAGTGGTACGATTTTGTGAATTGTTATGTAAAACTCATGTATCTTTTTTATTGTTCGAGCCTTGACTCGAGTATAAATATGCAAATTTAGCAAGGTACCGAATGGTACTTAAAGTAATTATTTTATTTCGTTGTGGAATCAATGTACTCAGAACCGTACTTTAAGTACTTCAGGTTTAATTACATGTACCGAATAAATTATTAACGTAATTTAAATAATTTCTCCGTACTTAAAGTAATTAACGTACTCAATAGGTATTTAAAGCAACAACAAAAGTATTCAATGTACTTAACGTACCTTTTTAAGTACGTTTGATTATGCTGTGCTGTATTTAAGTGTTCTTGCGTGCCCCTCGGGCTGTGGTGGATTACCTCATTTGTTTCAATATATACACACTTAAATTGCTTCGCCGAGAT